TAGACCCCACTTGCAATTTTGTTTATTAACACAGCATTTTTTTTTAATTCATCTTATTTCTGATACATAATTTACAGAAACAGATAAAGTACTGTTGATCAATAATCGAATCTATCCCATTTCTATATCAAACATTTAAAGATGCATTAGCTACGAGATATAAAAAAAAAAAAATACGTCTGACGAGGTTAATCTGATCTTGATCTTATTTTCATTGTCCATGGGTAACTGTACGGCCATTTCTCATATACTTTAAGCAATAGGTAAACTATAGATTGTGTATAGGTTCAAGGGAGGGTTCAGCTGACCTTGACTTCATTTTCATAGATCATCATTTAGTTGAAGGGTGAAGGTTGGCACCTATTAAAACGTTTAAACTCGCTGCTTTCCTTTTACAAATTGTGACTTGGATGGAGAGTTGTCTCATTGGCACTCATACCACATCTTCTTATATCTATGTAATACCTAATAGGGCTCACTACTTCAGAATCATAGGGAGAAGTGACTTCTCTTTTTGAAACTGATAGGAAGAAGAGGTGAGACTTAAAAGAGAAGATTCGTTCACTTGCGGTGCTACATTGTTTGGTATTTAAGCTATAGTAAGACATTTTCCTCTTAATGACTTTCCACTAAAATTCAATCATGATCAATAAAGCAGAGATGTTTCAACGAGAGCTCTCTTGATTTATTATATGAATTTTTGGAATTTATGACACATCTTTGATAGTCTATTAAATATACAAACTTCCCTAGAAAATAAACTCGTCATAGATACCAGGATTAAAATTGTGTATGCCAGACACGCCTTTCGTCTATTAAAGACTCATCAGTGACGCTCAAATCAAAAAAATTAAAAAGGACAAGATTAAAAGCTGGAAATATTGTAGTTTTAAGATTGCTCTGATGTCTAAAAGTTGGGTTTTGGGACTGGCTAGGGCTATAGGACGTCAGAATAGTCCATTTAGAAAACATGGAAATTGCAAACCCAGACTTGGGGCAGTTAGTTTATGTCCCGATACTTAATAAAATCAAGCAGATTGAGAGCAATAGTACATCACTGAAAATGGAGAGTTGAGGGCTATTTAAGGGATATAGGTGAATAAAAGGTAAATATTTGTGTAAAACAAAAGTGCACACACTGAAATGTCATGCCTTCTTTACTAACCATTGATTTTATGTTGATAGTCCTAAATACAAAGCTTTACTACAAGTAACACATAAACTTAACATGATCCAAGAAAATGAGGTCAAGGTCAGATAAACCAAACAAGAAATACATGTACACCTTACAATCATTCAATAAACCAAACATAGTTGACCTATTGCTTATTGTTTCTAAGAAACAGTCTTAAACAAGAAAACTTAACATTGACCAATGAACCATGAAAATGAGGTCAAGGTCAGATGAACCATGTCAGACAGACATGTACACCTTACAATCAATTTAGGCATTAAATATAGTTGACCTATTGCTCATAGTATCTAAGAAACAAACTTAACCATGAAAACTTAACATTGACCAATGAACCATGAAAATGAGGTCAAGGTCAGATGATACCTGCCAGACAGACTTATACACCTTACAATCCTTCCATACATCAAATATAGTTGATCTATTGCTTATAGTTGAAGAAAAACAGACCAAAACACAAAAACTTAACACTGAGAAATGAACCGTGAAAATGAGGTCAAGGTCAAATAAAACCTGTGAGACTGACATGTACATCATTAAATATTTCCATACACCATTTATAGATGACCTATTGTATATAGTATTAGAAAAAAAAGACCAAAACTCAAAACTTAACTTTGACCACTGAACCATGAAAATGAGGTCAAGGTCAGATGACAACTACCAGTTGGACATGTACACCTTACAATCATTCCATATACCAAATATAGTAGACCTACTGCTTATAGTATCTGATATATGGACTTGACCACGAAAACTTAACCTTGTTCACTGATCCATGAAATGAGGTCGAGGTCAAATGAAAATTGTCTGACGGGCATGAGGACCTTGCAAGGTACGCAATACTAAATATAGTTATCCTATTACTCATAATAAGAAAGAAATTAACATTACAAAAAATGTTGACTTTTTTTTCAAGTAGTCACTGAACCATGAAAATGAGGTCAAGGACAATGGACATATGACAGACGGAAACTTCGTAACATAAGGCATCTATATACAAAGTATGAAGCATCCAGGTCTTCTAGCTTCTAAAATATAAAGCTTTTAAGAAGTTAGCTAACGCCGCCGCTGCCTTAGGATCACTATCCCTATGTCGAGCTGTAGGTGGAGTAGTGTAACATAAATATTGATGTTGCCTGATTGCAAGTGCAAGACCAAAGACAGAGATATAGGTGGGGTAGTGTGACATAAATATTGATGTTGCCTGATAGCAAGTGCAAGACCAAAGACAGAGATATAGGTGGGGTAGTGTAACATAAATATTGATGTTGCCTGATTGCAAGTGCAAGACCAAAGACAGAGATATAGGTGGGGTAGTGTAACATAAATATTGACATTGCCTGATTGCAAGTGCAAGACCAAAGACAGATATATAGGTGGAGTAGTGTAATATAAATATTGATGTTGCCTGATTGCAAGTGCAAGACCAAAGACAGAGATATAGGTGGGGTAGTGTGACATAAATATTGATGTTGCCTGATAGCAAGTGCAAGACCAAAGACAGAGATATAGGTGGGGTAGTGTAACATAAATATTGATGTTGCCTGATTGCAAGTGCAAGACCAAAGACAGAGATATAGGTGGGGTAGTGTAACATAAATATTGACATTGCCTGATTGCAAGTGCAAGACCAAAGACAGAGATATAGGTGGAGTAGTGTAATATAAATATTGATGTTGCCTGATTGCAAGTGCAAGACCAAAGACAGAGATATAGGTGGGGTAGTGTAACATAAATATTGATGTTGCCTGATTGCAAGTGCAAGACCAAAGACAGAGATATAGGTGGGGTAGTGTAACATAAATATTGACATTGCCTGATTGCAAGTGCAAGACCAAAGACAGAGATATAGGTGGAGTAGTGTAATATAAATATTGATGTTGCCTGATTGCAAGTGCAAGACCAAAGACAGAGATATAGGTGGAGTAGTGTAATATAAATATTGATGTTGCCTGATTGCAAGTGCAAGACCAAAGACAGAGATATAGGTGGGGTAGTGTAACATAAATATTGATGTTGCCTGATTGCAAGTGCAAGACCAAAGACAGAGATATAAGTGGGGTAGTGTAACATAAATATTGATGTTGCCTGATTGCAAGTGCAAGACAAAAGACAGAGATATAGCTAGAGTAGTGTAATATAAATATTGATGTTGCCTGATTGCAAGTGGAAGACCAAAGACAGAGATATAGGTGGGGTAGTGTAACATAAATATTGATGTTGCCTGATTGCAAGTGCAAGACCAAAGACAGAGATATAGGTGGGGTAGTGTAACATAAATATTGACGTTGCCTGATTGCAAGTGCAAGACCAAAGACAGAGATATAGGTGGAGTAGTGTAACATAAATATTGACGTTGCCTGATTGCAAGTGCAAGACCAAAGACAGAGATATAGGTGGAGTAGTGTAACATAAATATTGACGTTGCCTGATTGCAAGTGCAAGACCAAAGACAGAGATATAGGTGGGGTAGTGTAACATAAATATTGACATTGCCTGATTGCAAGTGCAAGACCAAAGACAGAGATATAGGTGGAGTAGTGTAATATAAATATTGATGTTGCCTGATTGCAAGTGCAAGACCAAAGACAGAGATATAGGTGGAGTAGTGTAATATAAATATTGATGTTGCCTGATTGCAAGTGCAAGACCAAAGACAGAGATATAGGTGGGGTAGTGTAACATAAATATTGATGTTGCCTGATTGCAAGTGCAAGACCAAAGACAGAGATATAGGTGGGGTAGTGTAACATGAATATTGATGTTGCCTGATTGCAAGTGCAAGACAAAAGACAGAGATATAGCTAGAGTAGTGTAATATAAATATTGATGTTGCCTGATTGCAAGTGGAAGACCAAAGACAGAGATATAGGTGGGGTAGTGTAACATAAATATTGATGTTGCCTGATTGCAAGTGCAAGACCAAAGACAGAGATATAGGTGGGGTAGTGTAACATAAATATTGACGTTGCCTGATTGCAAGTGCAAGACCAAAGACAGAGATATAGGTGGAGTAGTGTAACATAAATATTGACGTTGCCTGATTGCAAGTGCAAGACCAAAGACAGAGATATAGGTGGAGTAGTGTAACATAAATATTGATGTTGCCTGACTGCAAGTGCAAGACCAAAGACAGAGATATAGGTGGGGTAGTGTAACATAAATATTGATGTTGCCTGATTGCAAGTGCAAGATCAAAATAACTTCCAACTTTTAAGCACCTGTCCTCTTACTCAGATTTGATTGATTTTTTGTGTTTAAACGCCACTTTTAAGCACCACTTTTGGGCTATTTCGTGGCGGCCAGTTTTTATTGGTGGAGGAAGCCGAAGTGCCCGGAGAAAACCACCGACCTTGGATAGGAAAACTGACAATCCTAGTCAATTAAGATTTAAGATAACAAGCGGGGTTCAAACTCACAACCTCAGTGTTGACTGGCTTGTGATTACAGTAGTAACTACTTAAGACCACTCGGCCACTGAGGCCCCCCTCTTACTCAGATAACTTATACAAGACTCTGACAGCTGATATGAAGGTACCTAAATAGACAGTACTGTGGATTCATCATTGTTTGTGGAGTACCATGTTATTGTGGATTTGGTGGGTATTGGTAATCCACAAATTGAAATGTTCAACAAAGTACATTTATTACACGTTTGTAAACAGACTTTGGCAAAAACTAAGAAATCAAACATCAATGAAAATACAATTTTTCTTCATTCCATGAAAATAAATGAATCCACATTACATGTTTGGCTAAACAAGTCTTGTTTAAAAAAAAACATGCAAAAAGTAAAAATAATAGCCAACTTTGAGAACTATTTTATTATTTAGTAAGTATTGATACGTCCTCTGAATGAATGATATTTTTACAATAACAAATACAGAATAACAATGATATTTTATTACAAAAATAGAGCTTAGCATCTTCTCTGACCATCACACTGGGCTGTAATTCTTATATTATTCTGCAGGAGTATACAATGTTTTCTCAATGGTATTATACTATTTTGTACATCATAAATTATTAATGTGAGCTTAAAAATTATCACCATCTTCAAATGATCAATGCCAGAAGAATATTTTTATTGTTCTAACATGTTCAAAAATAGCAATCTGACAACATTTTTAAGTTGTTATGCTAACAAAGCCTTTATTTTTCTCTTCTCTCATAAAGTTATAATTAAACTATTTTAAATACAACATTCATAAAACTTCTTTACTACTTTTAAATTTATGAAAAAAGTGAGCCTTTCATATAATATTTAGCAAATCAATCAAGAATAAACAAAAAATTTGTTCATACAATTTGATAACTTGAAAAACAAATTTAACCTGAATTTTAACTAAAACACTTACTATGCAGACTGATTCTCACTTTCTCATTCAATATTTATTTATTTTTGAAATATCTTCCGGCAGAAAAAAATCATGTATATCTTCCTAACAAAAAAAATATTGGTCGTGCCCAAAAACATTGAAAGGAAAATCCATACATGAAAGATTAGCTTTATCATACAAGAACTAATTGAAAACTGTTTTCCAAAAATCACACTTAGAAAATTGAAAAAAGTAACATACCTACAAACTAAAGTCTATATATTTTGCATTCAGAACTCAGTTGGATTTCATTTAAGTGTCTGACAGGAAATTCTTGCAGTTAAACTATGAAAAATTGCTAAAGCAATGACCACTCATCTATTATCAAATATTCTTGGCAGTGGTAAATGTGGATAAAACAGAAAATACTTAAAATTTCTTTGCCTAAAAATGAAAATGGCACATAGTGTAATTCAAGTAAAGCAGCCTTATTTAGTAAAAATCCTGTATATGTAATATGCTAATTTTGAAAAGGAAAAAATCCAATAATCTTTACAACTTTATAAGGTTACACTATTTAAAAGTTTTATATACAGACTAGTTTTACCTTCAACTGTTTCTACTTAGCAACTTTTCAAAGCTACTTGATTTTTTTTTTAATATAACTATAGCAACAAGTTTTTTTGCTTTAATACCAAAATACAGCTCTGTGTGATGGGGAATTTACAGATACATGTACAAAAACTATAAATACTAGACAGCACAAAATACACCTATAAATATGTTTTGTTCTATAAATCATATATGGGAGCCATGGTAACAAAAAAGCACTTAATATAGCACTATATGATGCATGTGAGTAAAACAAAAATACTAGTAACATTATGGAAGTCATCAAAAACATGATGATTCAAATCAAAAATAAAAACTCAAGTGCCAAAAAATGTTTTTAGAATGTAAGAGACAAAATGCATTTATCAAAGATTCAAGATTTATTAAAGATAGGATAAGGGATTGACAAAAAAAATATGAATAAATAAATGCATCCAGTAAGTGAAAAGATACCAAACATCTTAATTGCAAACACACTTCAAATTATCTTCTCTGTTCATGAAACTTTTTTAAAAATTCCTAATAAAGAAGAAATTTTAACTTTCCCCCCAATATTATGCAAAATTTTCTCATACCATTGTCAAGTAAAGATATTTGTTGTTAAAAATATTGGCCAGTATGAGTAAGACATTTAGATCATGTAGTTAAAGAACTGTATGACCTGTATCACTAGAAGAATAAAGCTTTTTTAACTGTCAGAAAACTGATGATATAATTTCTATATTTGAATTTTGGCATTTTCTTTTTATAAGATATGTATTTCATAAAGAATGAAGATTGTATAAATATACGATAATTCTAATCATATGCTAAATCATAAGCCCTGCTTAACAGTTGTCCTAAATGTAATACATGTTTGTGGAGAAAAACAATAAGATCACTTGTGCTCAAGTCAACAGATTCACTCATGTAAGCTCATCTTTCATCCTTGACATAATGTAGATCACAAATACAATTTCCCATCTTTTCTTTCTTTCTTTCAATCGATCAAATCTTTTCAGATTCTATTCCTTTCACAGGAGCTTTTTAAAGGAAGTAAAAGCTGATGAATCAAAATTGCTTGCTAGAAATCAAATTAAATATGATGAAGTTGCCTAATTTGAATTTGGACAATAATAATATAAATAACTCTCAATATAACCTGATTACATCGGATCAGCTGCTAGAAAACATGGATGTGGTATGGTGGTCGGACCTATAAATGATTTAAGTAAACCTACTATACATGTACTATTACATGTATTTAAATACCTAACAACCTATTTTCATCCTTAAAATTAACTTTATAAAGGTATTGTTGGACAAGTAAAGCAATTGTCAACGCTACCAAATACATTTTTGTCAAACAAAATTGACTTGTGGTTAGTTTTTTAAACTTCTAAGACAGACACAACTGCCCTCAATTGTCAAAAGCCTCCAATACACCATTGAGCTTCCTCTTGTACCTACTCAAGATTGTCACATGATCTTCAGAGGATTGACAACTAAAAATTAACAATCTAACAATTCAAAGATTTCTAGTATTTGTATGGCACAGTTAGTTATCGGACAAAGGACATCAGAGTGTGTATCAAAAATAGACAAAATGTTTGATCATACTTAAGGGTTAGGGCAACTTTAAGTTAGTTAAGTTGGGGTTAGATCCAGAAATTAATTCACAACAAATCAATGATGCATGATTGTGGAGTATGGTATATCGTTGTGGAAGTTTTAACAAATTTATCTATGGTTTTTCAGGTGTTTCAATAAGTTAACTTAAAAGAAAGCAAATACTTATAATTCTCCATTTGATGCGGCCCTTGCTTTCTTTCATTCATTAATTTTGTCAAGATGTTATAAGAAACTAATGTTTCTTCCAAAATCAAAAATACTTAACCTCCATTTGCTGTCAAACTGTTAATTTCAAAATTAAGACAATATTTTTATTACAGTAATATGTTTATCTGGCGGAGTTCAGATTACATAATTTAAATCTATCATTGTAATCATGCATATTCTAGATTAGATATAAATTTCATTATTTGGAAGTGTTATAATCCAGTAAAGCTGACAATTATTGGACATGTCCACATTCACCTTAACAACTTTTCATCAGATAACTTGTAATAAAGACAGAAATATTATTCATTTTTTTTTAAGATCAAGTACCCAGTCCATATTTAACTATGACATAGAAAGGTATATTCCTTAATTGGTGTGATTTTACATACTCTTTGATTTTTCTGACCTGGATAAAAGCAATTATGACAAACTCCTTCCTTCCTGAGATTACTAAGATTAATAATTCTAAATGCTTAACATAGAAAAAACAAAATGTATATTTGAATTTACAATTTCAGAAATGTATCAAACAATAGTAACATACTTGATTTGAAAATAATACCATATTGTTAGGTAAGCATATCACCCTTAATCTGAGCAATCCTTTTTCAACACGTATTGTTTTTTTTTAATAGTTCCTATTAGAATCTAAAAATAATTGACCACTCAGAAGAAAACAGGTTAAAATATGTCTTGTATTCTTAGGATGTCATAAAAGGTAATTCATTTTAATATCTTCAGCAAAATATAACTAGCACTAATTTACGTCGATGTTAACAACACACATTAAATGAAGGGATTCAAAGCAAGTTAAAATCTGCTATTTATCATATTTTGGCAAAATTGGAAGTCAAGCCAATGTCGTAATACTATTATGGTATCACGATCGCCTGTCCATAAATATGTACTGTTAAAAAATAAGTGTTAACTGACATATTTCATTTAAATACAATTTGGTAGTTGTTTATTATACATGGAATTCTAGACCTATTTATAACTATTATGCAAAAGAATTTTGATTTAAAAGTCAAAACTGATAAGACACTTTATTTGAAATAATATAATATAGATTTTCAATATAAACTGAAAAAGACTTTTTGATGGAAAACGTACAATGTACAGAATTTATATCCAAAAATGAAGAAAATCTTAAATATTCTGGTTTTTTAGTTGGTCATTTAAGATAAGCTTGGTTGATTGTTGTTTGCTTTATGTCCAGTGGCAAATGTTTCATGCATATCAAGAATGATTATAAGACTGGAAGTGATGACAATTTTTCGATCAGTTTAACAGCGTTGATTCATAATCTAATATAAAATAATACTACATGAAATGCTTTAAAAAAAATGGAATGCAGCCAGATGAAAAAAGAATACAGTTGTTTAAGATTATAGGAGTCATCTGCTTTCAAAAGACCTTAAAAAAATGTTACAAAAAGTAAATCATTCCTTCTAAGTAACTAACAAATCCACTCAAATCCAAACTGTACCATGGTGTATAAAATGGTAAAAGATGGTAATACCTATGTGAAAACAATTTATAAAAAATATGTATAACAAGCAGTTGATAAACACATCAAAGTTTTATTACATTTGTCTAATTGCACACACACACATATTAAGTTAAATGTTTTGAAACTATGAATTATTCAAGCTAACTGAAGTTTGAAGAGAAAAACATGAAAATGTGTTAAGTCATGTACACTTTGTGCTAATAATTATATATGTTTTATACATTATCGTTGATATTTCTCGTCTGGATAACAAAATTTAAGCAAGGGATATGTTGAAACGTTTTATTCATGATCTCTCTCTCACCGGTACCATCTTACAAGCCAACCATACAGAAAACATTCAGTCACAAAATAACTCTTACACAAATTAAACTATTATAATATAATATTTTTATATCTTCTATTTTACAGTTAGTATTCAGGAATGCTACCTTTTATATTAATAGAAAAAGTATAGTGTTACATAAAAGCTTAATATATTGTTTTTGGAAATATAAAACCTTATTTAATTCATTATCGAATTAACTTAAGTTACCAGCTATAATCTTGTTTGTTGTTCTTTTGTTATCTTATTAAAGAAAAGATGCCTAATGGGACAAAAATATTCAGGCCTGTCACCTTGAAACGGTTCAGTTATACAGATGGTTTCAGAGGTCTCTTCACTGATCCATATCAGTGTTTACCATGCAGAATGCCTGAATAGACCTACAGTTATTTTTTTAATTAATCATAACCTACCTTTAAATCTATCTTGTTATTAAGTTGTATTTAGTAACAGTCATATAAAATCAAAACAATGCAATTTACAATGCAGGTCATTGCTCAAATACTTCCATTTTTGTATAAGTATTAATACTAGTATTTGAGTAAATAATGCATGTAATGTATGGTCATCACATGTTTGCTCCCTTACTGAATGGAGAGCTTCATGAGGTATGGGTTCTTCAGAATAGACAGCCGTCAAGGTTATCATATCCGAGACCTGAAGTAGGCTTTGCTCTCCTGCTATGAATGATGCATGTCATGAGGTATGCTTTATTCAGATAGCCATCAAGGCCATCATAGCCAGAACCTAAAGCAATCTAGTAACAGTAATTCTATAGTTTTATCTAATAAATAAATGTTATACATGTATAAATATGGAAGCATTTAATGTAAAACAATGTGAAAAATTTCAAAAAATTGACCTTAAAATATAACAATTTTGTGAAAAAAAACTTATAACATATAAACAATAAAGTGGGAACAAATATTTGATCATGTAACATGGTAGAAACTAACAAACTGTCAAATTTCTAATATGGTAGTAATTGAAATTCTACAAGCTTGATTAAAGGTACAAAAATACCAGAGAATTAAATAAACTTGATTTTATCAGGTACTATGACACATGAATAAGACCTGTAGACCTCGGTATTAAAGCTTGGTTGCTTTAAAATTTTTGATAAAATATATTCAAATATTCAAAAAAAGGAATTGTGGAAGTGTTTCAGTGAACAATGAATTTGAGACTTTAGTTTGCCTTCTAATTTACATTAACATATTGTTCCTTTTCACCTATAAATAGAGTACTATCCTGTATAATACATGGACATCTGTTTATCTCAATAAACATTAACACCTGATAAACAAATGTCCAGGTTTTATTTCAGGGTTCAATAAACACAATGCAAAGAATTGTCAGAGTCAGAGAGAAGTAGCACTATCTGTATATACATTATGCGACCTGCCTTTCTCTTACTTTTCTACTGAAATGGCTGATAAGTACAGAATGTTGTTGATTTGGTCAACACACATCTGATCACGAGTCCTGAAGGTTAGTCTGATCATGCTAGGAAGACAATCACACTGCTGTAGAACTGTTTGACCTATTCTTGCCTCGTCTTTGTGCTAAACGGGAGGCACCAACTGGTTCTAGAACAGGCTTTGGCGAGTTGTTGAGAGCATTGAACATAGCCCTAACTTCACCCTGTAAATAGATAATGGTTTTATACAAAGTAAACATGAACTGCTTACTTAAATAAACAATAGTGACATAGTATTAAACTGTTTATTTCAGAATTTTCCTTATAATAATAATTACATTATGATAATTCTGTAAAAGTTGAAATTTTCCCACTTTTTCACTCTAATATATTGCAATATTAAGTGCTGTGGATTCACTATTATTCATGGGATACCAATTTTGTGGATTTCGTGGGTACCGTTTAACCAGGAATTTAACTTTTTAACAAAGTTCACATTTTCTATAGGCATGTATATAGACTTTCGCACAACCACGAAATCAAATAAATACGAAAACACATTTTTTTTCTTAATCCATGAAAATTTATATCCACGAAAATAAATGAATCCACAGTAAAATGCATGAAAATACTTTGAACAAATCAACGGTATTGAGTCTTTTGACATGAAGGACACTCAATTTTTTTGTTTTTGTTTTTATTTATCTAATATTGATAATTTTTTTATTAAGCATAAATCATCTACAGAATAAATTGCTTCGCTGAGCGCAGCTGTATACGGCCGCAGATTCCAACCCTGAAAAGTTGGGGCCAAAATGGACACAATATTCATGCTTGATACAGGTCTGAATTTGGATTGTAATTAAATTTTTGACACATAATAGGTTTCTGACACAGAATAACTGTAGTCAAAGAACTTCAAATTGGTTATATGATTTGAAATTATATTCAATTTTTTGCTTTTGTGCAATACACTATGCGAATTGACCCCCCCCAAAAAAAATTTTACCCCATTTTTTTGCGTTTGTGCAATACACTATGCTGTTGAATATTAACCCCCCAAAAAAAAATATATGAAGAAATTTTCTTTTAATTTCTGAAATCTGAAATGAGAAAAATTGTCCCCCTCCAATTTTTTTCATCTCCCCCCTTTCCCTTATTCCAAAAAATAAATCTTTCCCTCAAGTTATGTTCAGTATCTCAGACAATCATCATTTCTTAATACATAATTTACAAGCAGTGTAAGGGAGGTTATCAAACATTGTTATTTATATTGATTTGGATTACCTCCCTTACACTGCTTTTAAATTGTCTCAATTGTCCTTTAACCAGAAAAACCCTTGTTTTTCACCTTTTTTGCCCCTAATTCCTACATGGTTTGAGCCATAACCCCCCAAAGTCAATCCTAACCATCCCTTTGTAGTATGGAAACTTGTGGTATAATTTCAGAGAGATTCATACACTTTAACACAAGTTATTGTCTGGAAACTACAAAAACGCTTATTAGGGCCCCTTTTTTGGCCCCTAATTCCTAAACAGTTCGGACCATAACCCCCAAAATCAATCCCAACCTTCCTTTAGTGGTTATAAACCTTGTGTTTAAATCTTATTGATTTCTATTTACTTATACTAAAGTTATTATCCGGAAACCATCTGTCTTCGGACAACGCTGACGACGACAACGTGATACCAATATACGACCAAAAAAAATTTAATTTTTGCGGTCATATAAAAAGACCTAATTTATGAAAATGTTGCTTTGAATTTCAGCAGCAAAACTCTCTTACATAGTTTGATGAAAAAGGGCATAATTGGATTTTGTCGCAAGTCTTACCTTTAGAGTAGGACCATTTAATATCAATTGTTTATCGGACAAATCTTCTCGCTGAGCAATCCATGGATGATTGAGCACTTGGGTAGCAGAGAGACGTCTTGATGGATCAACATGTAACATTTTTTGTACCAAATCCTGAAACCACAAGCATATACATCAGTATATCATGTATAAAGTTGTCTAATTTAAATATTTTCTCTTTACTAAGAATAGTTTTCAGCATTTCACAGCTGGGAATATTTTTCTCATTTTGCAGTGATTTTACTTCAATTTGCCTACATGCATGTATGAAGACACTAAAAATAAATGCAGCAATGAAATTACCAGTGTGAAAATAATTATCAATAAAATTCAATGATCATTTATATTTTAACTTCTTATCTACCACAACAGATGCTATAGTTCACTACTACACACAACTGATAAGTTAACTACTGCAGCTGATTCGTAGGTTAATTACCAGAGATATTTTTGCAGTGAGAGAATTCTACAGTGGAGATGTATGGTACTATAATTAGAATTGGAATATCTCATTAATTATTTTATGTATATTAAAAATTAAAAATGTTATGAACTCACCAGTGTTTGTTTTTTATTATAGTCTTTTTTTTTCCCAATAAAGTCTATGTATAGTCCGAAAAATGTTCACTTATTTACAATATTTACACTAAAAATGTCCATATGTACAATCAAATTATATACAGTTCTTCCACAATGTGCCAATTAATTAGAATTATTTTAAGAGTTCTTCATGGTATTTGAAGAAGCAGTCATTCTTAATGCAAAGCCTGATGTTGCACTGTTTACATCCTACAGAAACTTCAAATCTTTTGTTCTGCTTCAAACAACCTTTACATCGTCCTGGTTTGTCAAACTGTGTTGGCCAGTGCGCCAAAAAACGACATGATTTTTTCCTTCTAGTTTGTTGGAAAGGTCCTTTATCACCCTTGAACCCAGTCCTTCTTCTGGTCTTCCTCTTTCAACTCGGCCTGTATATACCTGAAACTCATGGACATATCTGTTCTTTGGAGCAGCGCGTTCCCATACTTTTATTCCAAATTTTGTAGGTTTGGCTGGAAGGTATTGCTTGAATGATAGTCTTCCTTTAAAAGCTATCATTCCCTCATCAATAGACTGCTCTTTTGGTGGGTAATAGTTTTCCAAACAAGTTTTGGACAGCTCATCAATGACCGGTCGAATATGGCAAAGTTTGTCATGTCCACGTTGTCCTCTTGGTGGGTTATTTGAGATGTCGTTCATATGGAAGTATTTTGAGATTCTTTCAAATCTGGTCCTTGTCATGATGGTTTGAATGCTAGGAATCTCAAAAGGCCAGGCTGACTGCCATGCCAAGGTGTATGTTGGTATACCAAGGACCGAAAAAATTACGTGAATCCCCAAAAATGCCATCATTTCAGGGAAGCTGGTTGGAGTCCAAACTTTGTCTGGCCTCGCGGCGATCGATCTGTCAGCGTAGGCGTTGGTTTCAATCACTATTTTCTCAATAAGTGCCACGGGAAAGAATTTGTGAAAAAAATCTAATTCTTTCTTTTCCTTTTCCATTACGAAAGCCAGTCCTACGATTTCTGTAAAGTTGCTTACATTTGGAGTACGGAAATTACGTGACCATGTTTCGTCATCTAAGGCCTCCATTTCTTCTTCTGACTACTCGCTTTCTGGATCGGAGAAAGAAATATCACTCCCCACACTACTAACTTCACTTTCGTCAATATCTGACGCCGTAAAACCTTCAAATTCTTCCTCATCGTCATCCGAAATAAACATGTCTAAAATCTCGTCAGCCATCTTTTACTATTTTTCATTCATACATTCATATGCAAATCATGTGTTCTAAAATCGATTATTATTCATTAACCAAACGCCTTATATGGAAAACCAGGGTATCATGTTAAAGGTTATTCATTTCTTAAATAGATTTTTATTGGTTCTTTACAGGATTCCCCTTTACATTTGACCAATCGTCAGCAATGTAACAACGGTATATTTGACGGATATATACGTCACTACGATTGCGCATATCTTTGTTTACAGCGGACAATTCCGCTATCGCGAGTCTGCAGTAGTATTATTGCAGCGGATTTATCCGTCAGTAAGGAGATAAGAGATAAATTTAGCGCGGATATATACGTCAGTGGTAGGGAAAGAGTTAAAAGATGATGATTGCTATTTTTTTCGAAAATTAAATATATATTTAACTAACCTTTGCTCCTTCAGATACACTATCCCAATTGCCACCACTAATTTTAAACTTTCCAACGCCAATCCGGGACAAGATATCATTGGGTGTGTCATTTGGACCATTTGCAAATGGAGTGTGTCTGTAATGAATAAAAACATATTTCCCAATAAAACTGCAGATATAATTTAAACTTTTTCCATCTACTAAAAGACTGCTGTAAACCAACTAATTTTCTTAAGAAGAAAAGTACTGTAACTAGCCATGTATAATCCATACGTTTACATTGTCTGCACACCCTTTTTCACCATGGTTATTCAGAAAAAAAACTTTTTTGTCACTTGATGAAAACGTCTAGTGAAACTCTGGGAATTTCAAATAGTATGTGATCGTTTGCTGTATTTTCATGGAAAAACCCATTTTCCAACATCAAGCAGAAGTTGAAAATGTTGGTACAGGGGTTTTTCTGGGTATTTTGGGAAAAAGGACCCTGGGCAGATTTAGGATTTTTTTACTCGATATTCAATGAATTTGGGAAAACAACAAATATACCAGATGTGAGTTTTAGCGTGTGTATAGTTCATTCGAAAAATATCTGTTTTTGAGAAAATAAAGTAAGAAAGAACATGATTGCCTTTTATAATTTCATTTTCTGACCTTTTTGTTTTTAAACTTGACAACAAGGCAATCAAGTTTATTTCAGTATAAAAATACTTCTCAAAGCACACTTGATAAGAATTTACCGCCGTTTTCACCTTCAAAGACCGTAACAGTGTTTTTTTTTTACTTGTCAAGCGGGCTAACACTTTTCTAGTTTCACTAATTGCCTTTCCAGATTTTAACTGGACCTTCAACATTGACATTGACAAGAAATTAATCCGTTGTAATATGTTTACATTATAAAAACATCCAATATCAGAATGCTTTAGTGATAAAGAAGAGTATAAAATGTCACATTTCATTTGATTTTGACATTATATTATATATTTTCAGATATATTTTACTTTTCAATTCTAGAGTTTATACATGTATTCAAAAGCTGTATTTTGTCACCTGCCACGATTTTTTTTATTTATTTAATTGTGTTTGATCGGCAAACCCAGAATTAGTCGTTTCTGCTCCCAGAATCAGATCTAGTATTGCATCGTTGTTTTTTCAGTCAGATATGTTTTTACTCGGTTTAAACACATTACTTGTTGGCGATTTTTCAGCATAAAGCTAGCGGTTAAACAAAAAGAACATCGCTGTCATGAATAATAAAGATGAAAATGAATTTTGAGATCGTTTGGGAATTTAGGTTTTTTCCCACACCGGACCCTGTGGAATGCTAGAAAAATCCATGTTGTAAATGATACTGGAACTCTACAAGAGTGTTAAAATAAGTTGAAATCAATAAAAAAACAAGCATTCTGAGAGTATTGCATGGCAATACATAGTTCCCTACCGGGTAAAAATTCATTACATTTGAACAAAATGCTAACTTGTTCTATAACTTGTCATTGTGTAAACAAAAAGAAAATATCAAGTCAATATCTTCAAGCATGACTAAAAACAGTGTGGGAAAACTGATTATATGAGTGAATTTTTCAAGTCCAAGGACCATATCTCTGCACAAAAATTATCAGACCGAAACAAAAATTTGAACTTGATCTGTAACTTGTCATGATAAAACTATATACCAATTATCAATCAATATCATCAAGCATAATGAAAAAAAAGTGTGGAAAACACTCTAACATTAGATATGATAAATAGTTCTCTAAAATTAGATATGATGTAATACAATGTATATTTATTTTCAAGTTATAATCAAATATAATTAATAGTTCCAAATATTTTTTCTTTCATTTGTCACAAACTAATATAGATTTGTAACTTATCTATAAAATGTCAACAACTTTTATCTATACACAATGTAATGTAATGAAATATATACCTTAATAAAAATAGATTTTTATCTTTCACTTCATAATTTTTTTTATGATAGCATTCAGAAAATTAGTTTATACAAAATAAATAAATGTGGATAGTGTCCACATGTGGACACAGATGATGCCCCCGCTTGCATATCATATAGTTATAAAGGGACATAACTGAAGAACGGTAAAAGTGACACTACCCAAATTTGAACTTGATCTGAGTTTTGTGGTAATAAGCATTGTGTGTAAGTCTCATAACATTTGGTTGAGGCTAACTTAAGTAGAGAACAGAAACTAAAAATTCAGCAATTTTTCTATTTGGGTGCTATAAACAGTTTCGTATAAAAAACTAGGGGTTATTCCCCGACTAAAAATAACCATGGAGGGAAATCCCTTTTTATTCATATAATTGGTGAAAAAGTATCATGTTTTTTGTATTTGATTGTATAAATTAGTTAATTAGCTTTCAATTTAAACAGGTTAAATGATTAAAATAATTTTAAAAATTAGATTAAATATACATGTTTTGAGGGGAGACAACACTGTAAACATCCTGTTGTTTTGGCAGTGAAAATTGAAAATTTATTTGCAGCCACTGTAGCTCTTTTCGAAGCAGGAAACCGTACCCTGAAACATGATTTTTATTAAAGGCCAGGTAAAAACCTATGAATTTCATACAGTTTTGATTATGGGAAATGTGCCTGTATCATGTTTACATGGGTATGCACATGAGCTGATTTCAGGTTTTTTATGTTCAGATTAGGCAACTTTTTCCCCATTTTCTCTGGATAGAACTTTTTTACTATACTAAAAGTACACTATATTTTTATTTCAAGATAAACTAGAGACAATTCTGATTCCAGTGATATCTAGTTTTATACAAGTATCTTTATTAACCATTCCACCACTAAGGGTCACTTAGACATGGTCCCCTAAAATATGACGTCATAGAAAAAAACTGTTGATTGCACCCTTAAAGGGTCAAACATATAATATAATGAGGTTTTAGCATAGAAATGTGTTACTGAATGGAGTAAAACAATTCTGAAAAATATCATATGGCATGCATACATTAATTTAAAAGCATCAGTTTGGTATATTTAATGCAAATATTACAGATTTGTACATAGCAACCAGATATAAGAAAACCAGACTGTGTGCAAATTTTGAAGTTTTTTCATCTTTTTGCGACGTCATAATATTTTTATTCATTCTTTCATATATTTGGAACCAAAAGTTGCACATGAAAAGTGTAGATTTTTTCTACTTTGACCTTTACTACTGATCAGTGTAACATACATTTTTATTCATTATATTATACATTTGGTACTTTTTATAGTCAAATAGCTACAAGTGCCATGCCTAAGAAATACACTATTTCAATATTTTTCTCAACTCAGCTACACCTTAGTTCATATAATACTAGGGACCAAATCTTTTTAAAGTAACTTTATTTATGTTTATTTCATAGTTTTATTCTATTTATTCAAAAGAAACCCAATTTTATGATTTTTTTTCTTTGTATAACTGATAAAAATGTGATACAGGAAATGTTTGGAATATGCCAGTTTAACTATTTGCCACTGGCCAATATGCCAATACTATGCGACATAAAAAATGAGCTGTAGTTTCACTATCGATGGTCACAATCCTTAAAGTAAGACATCATTTTAATCGATATAATGTACAGATTCAGAAAAATAGAGAATTTTTTATATATCGCAAACAAAGTTTTGCTTAAGGGTGCTATAAACAGTTTCGTATAAAAAACTAGGGGTTATTCCCCGACTAAAAATAACCATGGAGGGAAATCCCTTTTTATTCATATAATTGGTGAAAAAGTATCATGTTTTTTGTATTTGATTGTATAAATTAGTTAATTAGCTTTCAATTTAAACAGGTTAAATGATTAAAATAATTTTAAAAATTAGATTAAATATACATGTTTTGAGGGGAGACAACACTGTAAACATCCTGTTGTTTTGGCAGTGAAAATTGAAAATTTATTTGCAGCCACTGTAGCTCTTTTCGAAGCAGGAAACCGTACCCTGAAACATGATTTTTATTAAAGGCCAGGTAAAAACCTATGAATTTCATACAGTTTTGATTATGGGAAATGTGCCTGTATCATGTTTACATGGGTATGCACATGAGCTGATTTCAGGTTTTTTATGTTCAGATTAGGCAACTTTTTCCCCATTTTCTCTGGATAGAACTTTTTTACTATACTAAAAGTACACTATATTTTTATTTCAAGATAAACTAGAGACAATTCTGATTCCAGTGATATCTAGTTTTATACAAGTATCTTTATTAACCATTCCACCACTAAGGGTCACTTAGACATGGTCCCCTAAAATATGACGTCATAGAAAAAAACTGTTGATTGCACCCTTTGTAATGACGCATAACTCTAGAACGGTTGTGTATAAGTTTTACAACATTTGGTTGAGACAAACTAAAAAATTCAGCAATTTTTATGTTTATAATGGGACATAACTCTAGAATGGTAAAAGTGTTGCCACCTTATTTCGTACTTAATCTGTATTATGTAGTAATTAGCATTGTGTATAAGTTTCATAACATTTGGTTGAGGCGAACTCAAGTTAGAGAACTGAAACAAAAAAAATGTACTTGATCTTTACTGAGTTTTGTTGGAATGAATATTGTGTATAGGTTTCACAATGTTTGGCTGGGGAAAACTTCAGTTACAGAATGGAAACTAAAAAATTTTGCAATCTTTCTACTTATAAAGGGGCATAACTCAATAATGGTTAAAGTGACACTACCCAAATTCAACTTGATCTGTGTTTTATCAGTGGTATTCAAAATTAAACATTGCATTGTATAAAGCATTGATTGTAGTTGATTCAACTATCATCATGGTCAAAGGAAGATAACTCCAATTTTAAAAATATATTATATAAACTTGATATTTAGAAGAAAATAAAAATTTTGCAATTTTTCCTTTTATAAAGGGGCATAACTCTAGATCGGTTAAAGTGACACCACCAAAATTCAAACTTGATCTGTGTTTTGTGGTAATAAGCATTGTGTATAAGTTTCATAACATTTGGTTGAGGCAAACTTAAGTTAGAGAACGGAAACTAAAAATTTTGCAATATTTCCTTTTATAAAGGGGCATAACTCTAGATCGGTTAAAGTGACGCCACCAAAATTCAAACTTGATCTGTGTTTTGTGGTAATAAGCATTGTGTATAAGTTTCATAACATTTGGTTGAGGCAAACTCAAGTTAGAGAACGGAAACCAATTTCGGGACGTACGTACAGACGGACAAGGGTAAAACTTAATGCCCCCTCCGGTACGGCGGGGGCATAAAAACACTTCAAACAATTAACCAAAGAATGTCTTTAAAAAATGAGTTATCTCTCTTTGTACAGAAATATGGTTTAACATACAAAATGTAGTACTCTAACATTAGATATGAACCATGATAACTCTGGACTAAATCATCAGACCGGAACAAAATTCGAACTTGATCTATAACTTGTCATGATAAAACTATATACCAAATATCAAATCAATATCTTCAAGAATGAAGAAAAAAAGTGTGGAAAGCTGATTTGCCGGAATGACGGATGGACAGACTGGCAATTTTTACTTTGGAGTAAAAGACTGCAGACAATACAAGAATTCAATAACGAGAATGTAAATTGTCACAAACATGTAAAACATAATAGATCTCCCGTATAATAATCTGTTGACACAGAGATTTGTCTCACCTGTCGGCATGAAATTCAGAAAAAGACAATCTGATGGACAGCAACATTGCTAGTTAATTCAAAGTTGCTGGACCATGAACAAGCGGGCAGAGCCTCTAAATGGTCAATTAACTGAGATGTACAGACAGTACTGTATCTTCATAGAAAATATCATTGTCTATTGTAAGTAGTTCCTATAAAATTAACTTAAGCAGAAAACTTATCATTTACAATTGGTAAAGCAGAAAACTTAACAATTGTTGATGATGCATCGCTGGAAAAGCAATACCTATGTCTCGACTTCTGCAAATTTTGTAAAAGGCAAGACAATGAGCAGTTATATTTTATACAATTTCCAAGTGAGCTTAAAAGTGTATTTTCATTTCTAAAGTTATTTGAACTATGTATTAGGGACTCAACTTTGACCTTATAAACTTATATATCTGATTTTATCTGGTTATGTAGTTTTTGATTGGTATATAATATGTTTTTCCAAGTTCAATGAAAATGAAGATTTGCTTTCAATGACATAAATAATTGTTTCATGTTTTTTTTCACAATACTTTTAATGGTTTTCATGGTTTTATCTTGATGTAAAGACCTTCTAGTAAATTTTGTCAGCATAAATGGCACCAATACTTTGTTCATTTTTTTCCCATTAAATTGTGGGAATGTTGTCTTGTGTATTCTAAGACTCTAAGTACCGTTTTTACCTTCCACCTGGTAGAAATAGTGTTTTTGTTAATTTTTCACCTGGCAGAAATGGAGCGTACTTGTGAAGTTTACCCCTGGTTGAAATGGAGTGTTCTTGTAAAGTTTACCCCTGGTTGAAATGGAGTGTACTTGTGTGTTTTTCCCTGTATGAAATGGAGTGAACTTGTAAAGTTTTCCCCTGGTTGAAATGGAGTGTTCTTGTAAAGTTTACCCCTGGTTGAAATGGAGTGTTCTTGCAGGGATCTCCATGCCCTGTTTTATGATGGCGCACTGCCATCATTAAAATATAAACCGCCATTGTCAAATGATCCCCGCCATCGTAAAATTATCTTCCGCCATCATCAAATGATCCCCACCATTGTCAATTTTTTGTTCGTATCGCTAGTCGCCACCATTTTTCTTAGCAATTACAATCAATTGCATGTAGTTACATAACCCTTATTGTATTATAAACTAAAGGGTCCTCCTGATTACAGTTTTAAAGCCCTGAGGGATATCCGGCTAAAGATCGCTAATCACTTGTACAGGTAGATCAACATATCCAGCTAAAGATCGCTAATCACTTGTACAGGTAGATCAACACAACTGACCAAGATAGAAGATTGATTGCATTATTATATTACGTTTTAGCAAATGCCAATGAAAATTTAGATTCAAAATAAATTTTATTAAATCCAGTTATGAAGAAAAAGGTTTAACAAGTCGAATACATGCTTTTATATTGACTTACGCAATCAGCATTCCCCTTTTTAAATGAGTACAAATAAGAAGTACAAGAGTGCACACGCTGAAATGTCTCGCCTTCTTTACTAATCATTGATATTATGTTGATAGTCCTAAATATAAAGCTTTATTACAACTGTCACATAAACTTAACATTAACCAAGTAAACTAAACATTGACCAATGAACCATGAAAATGAGGTCAAGGTCAGATGAACCATGCTAGGCAGGCATGTACAGCTAACAATTCTTCCATACAACAAATATAGTTGACCTATTGCTTATAGTTTAAGAAAAACAGACGAAAACACAAAAACTTAACACTGAGCAATGAACCTTGAAAATGAGGTCAAGGTCAAATAAAACCTGCGTGACTGACATATAGATCATAAAATATTTCCATACACCAAATATAGTTGAACTATTGCATATAGTATTAGAAAAAAAGACCAAAACTCAAAAACTTAACTTTGACCACTGAACCATGAAAATGAGGTCAAGGTAAGATGACACCTGCCAGCTAGACATGTACACCTTACAATCATTCCATACACCAAATATAGCTGACCTATTGCATGCAGTATTAGAAAGAAAGACCAAAACTCAAAAACTTAACTTTGACCACTGAACCATGAAAATGAGGTCAAGGTCAGATGACACCTGCCATCTAGACATGTACACCTTACAATCATTCCATACACCAAATATAGTAGACCTATTGCATACAGTATAAGAAAAACAGACCAAAACACAAAAACTTAACTATAACCACTGAACCATGAAAATGAGGTCAAGGTCAGATGACACCTGCCAGTTGGACATGTACACCTTACAGTCCTTCCATACACCGAATATACTAGACCTATTGCTTATAGTATCTGAGATATGGACTTGACCACGAAAACTTAACCTTGTTCACTGATCCATGAAATGAGGTCGAGGTCAAGTGAAAACTGTCTGACGGGCATGAGGACCTTGCAAGGTACGCACATACCAAATATAGTTATCCTATTACTTATAATAAGAGAGAATTTAACATTACAAAAAATCTGAACTTTTTTTTCAAGTAGTCACTGAACCATGAAAATGAGGTCAAGGACATTGGACATGTGACTGACGGAAACTTCGTAACATGAGGCATCCATATACAAAGTATGAAGCATCCAGGTCTTCCATCTTCTAAAATATAAAGCTTTTAAGAAGTTAGCTAACGCCGCCGCCGCCGCCGCCGGATCGCTATCCCTATGTCGAGCTTTCTGCGACAAAAGTCGCAGGCTCGACAAAAACAGAACATAATTTTATGCCAAATAACACAAGTACAACAATTATTGATAATACTGAATCAATTTACAAATTTAAAAGTAAATACATGAATATTAACTGCAACTTGATGATCTGATGAAACTTCGTATCGTAATTCCTAATTCATTTTGTAGTTTACAATCAAATCAATACATCCAGTTTCACATTCAGAATCGAAAGATGCATGTTGCATAGTCTATAACTATTAAATTTGCAATTTAAAGTCATTAAAACCATTTAAGTTGTAAACATTTGCCCTCCAAATCTTTCTTCAATGTTTTACAAAACGGTTACGAAACTTCTTGTTGTTGATGCTGCAAATTGTTGATACCAGTTCATGACTTCTAAATTTGACAGTGAAAAAAAGATCCCCTCGATTTTTAAGTCCTAAACAAGAGTGCACACGCTGAAATGTCTCGCCTTCTTTACTAATCATTGATATTATGTTGATAGTCCTAAATATAAAGCTTTATTACAACTGCCACATAAACTTAACATTAACCAAGTAAACTAAACATTGACCAATGAACCATGAAAATGAGGTCAAGGTCAGATAAACCATGCTAAGCAGGCATGTACAGCTAACAAATCTTCCATACAACAAATATAGTTGACCTATTGCTTATAGTTTAAGACAAGAGTGCACACGCTGAAATGTCTCGCCTTCTTTACTAATCATTGATATTATGTTGATAGTCCTAAATATAAAGCTTTATTACAACTGTCACATAAACTTAACATTAACCAAGTAAACTAAACATTGACCAATGAACCATGAAAATGAGGTCAAGGTCAGATGAACCATGCTAGGCAGGCATGTACAGCTAACAATTCTTCCATACAACAAATATAGTTGACCTATTGCTTATAGTTTAAGAAAAACAGACGAAAACACAAAAACTTAACACTGAGCAATGAACCTTGAAAATGAGGTCAAGGTCAAATAAAACCTGCGTGACTGACATATAGATCATAAAATATTTCCATACACCAAATATAGTTGAACTATTGCATATAGTATTAGAAAAAAAGACCAAAACTCAAAAACTTAACTTTGACCACTGAACCATGAAAATGAGGTCAAGGTAAGATGACACCTGCCAGCTAGACATGTACACCTTACAATCATTCCATACACCAAATATAGCTGACCTATTGCATGCAGTATTAGAAAAAAAGACCAAAACTCAAAAACTTAACTTTGACCACTGAACCATGAAAATGAGGTCAAGGTCAGATGACACCTGCCAGCTAGACATGTACACCTTACAATCATTCCATACACCAAATATAGTAGACCTATTGCATACAGTATAAGAAAAACAGACCAAAACACAAAAACTTAACTATAACCACTGAACCATGAAAATGAGGTCAAGGTCAGATGACACCTGCCAGTTGGACATGTACACCTTACAGTCCTTCCATACACCGAATATACTAGACCTATTGCTTATAGTATCTGAGATATGGACTTGACCACGAAAACTTAACCTTGTTCACTGATCCATGAAATGAGGTCGAGGTCAAGTGAAAACTGTCTGACGGGCATGAGGACCTTGCAAGGTACGCACATACCAAATATAGTTATCCTATTACTTATAATAAGAGAGAATTTAACATTACAAAAAATCTGAACTTTTTTTTCAAGTAGTCACTGAACCATGAAAATGAGGTCAAGGACATTGGACATGTGACTGACTGAAACTTCGTAACATGAGGCATCCATATACAAAGTATGAAGCATCCAGGTCTTCCATCTTCTAAAATATAAAGCTTTTAAGAAGTTAGCTAACGCCGCCGCCGCCGGATCGCTATCCCTATGTCGAGCTTTCTGCGACAAAAGTCGCAGGCTCGACAAAAAACAGACCAAAACACAAAAACTTAAAACTGAGCAATGAACCTTGAAAATGAGGTCAAGGTCAAATAAAACCTGCGTGACTGACATATAGATCATAAAATATTTCCATACACCAAATATAGTTGAACTATTGCATATATAGTATTAGAAAAAAAGACCAAAACTCAAAAACTTAACTTTGACCACTGAACCATGAAAATGAGGTCAAGGTCAGATGACACCTGCCAGCTAGACATGTACACTTTACAATCATTCCATACACCAACTATAGTAGACCTATTGCATACAGTATAAGAAAAACAGACCAAAACACAAAAACTTAACTATAACCACTGAACCATGAAAATGAGGTCAAGGTCAGATGACACCTGCCAGTTGGACATGTACACCTTACAGTCCTTCCATACACCGAATATACTAGACCTATTGCTTATAGTATCTGAGATATGGACTTGACCACCAAAACTTAACCTTGTTCACTGATCCATGAAATGAGGTCGAGGTCAAGTGAAAACTGTCTGACGGGCATGAGGACCTTGCAAGATACGCACATACCAAATATAGTTATCCTATTACTTGTAATAAGAGAGAATTTAACATTACAAAAAATCATAACTTTTTTTCCAAGTAGTCACTGAACCATGAAAATGAGGTCAAGGACATTGGACATGTGACTGACGGAAACTTCGTAACATGAGGCATCCATATACAAAGTATGAAGCATCCAGATCTTCTACCTTCTAAAATATAAAGCTTTTAAGAAGTTAGCTAACGCCGCCGCCTGATCACTATCCCTATGTCGAGCTTTCTGCGACAAAAGTCGCAGGCTAGACAACAATTACCAAAATAGCAAGTAAACGACTTGGGAACCTTAAGGACAGCTTGTGGTCATTCTTGACTAAGGGGGAGCCATGCAGGCTTGACATTGGAATTGTTACAAATGACAATTAATGAAAATATTGGTTATTCTATTATGAAATAAATATAATAAGAAATATATCAATCTGTTCACCATTCCTTACATAGAAATGGAGGAATGAAATACTTTCAATCACGACACGCCGTAGACACTGGGTTTTGTCATGGTGAAAGTTCCTCCATCGTTAAATTTTCATCCATGGAGATCCCTGGTTCTTGCAAAGTTTTCCCCTGGTTGAAATGGGATGTACATGTTAAGTTTACCCCTTGGTACAAATGGAGAGTACTTACCCTGCTAACATGGTGTACAACAATACACCTAAACTCCAGATATCACAGGCTGCATCATACCCCTGTCTTTTTAGCACCTTAAAAATAAAGACAACCAATCAAAAGGAATGATTGCATTCAAATTACTGAGAAACAGAATTCAGTTTTGGTCAACATTATTATTATAGCAATATTCAATTTGGAAAAGATCAGGACTAAATATCTATAAAATTTATTCTACTTAACTAAAACCCTAAGGCTGTTTACTGAATTTTTATTCATGCAAATAACTTATCAACATGCATTATAACTAGCATTTAACATTTCTTTATCCATACATCTTCTTTTAACTGTATAACTTAAAATACACATCTGACACATACAGTTGTATGAAAAGACTATCATAGACCATGATTTCTTATTATTAATGAATAACGACAGTTTAAACCTTTCCAAGGTATTTGGATACACTTTTTTAAAAGTCATTTGAAAATTTAGTTCTAAATACAGTAAGAGTAGATAAATCACACAATGTCAGACCCAACACAGAAAGATATCACTCTCCCTTTCTCCCTGTAGGTGGATTACAAACTCCCCAATCCTCAGGTGGGTGACTATACTAGAGTCTACTCTTACCTTGAATGATAAATATGAAACTGTACCCGTCTAAAAAGAATGTAACTTGTGCAATTTAGTATGAGCTACTCAAGAAATAAACACACTTGGGGGTTGGGACACAACTTTTTTCGTAGCCCATGACCATGCATACAATTTAAACACTCTTCTAATGACTCAAACTAAAAAACTGCACAACCACCTATAATTTTCTTGTCCCTATTATGTAATTTTTGGAAAAGCCTAAAATAATTTCTTTTTTAAGATTCTAAAATCTCTAAATATATACTACTAGTGATCTGACACAAGACTTACATGCTGATTTTTCAATTATTTAACTAAATGATTTAACATCAGATTAACTCGCCAATTTCTCACAAACAGATTATCTCAAATATAAAATAGAGTTCTTAATGACATAAACAGATCAACTAATACTGACCATTCAATTTCAAGGCTAGATAGCTATTTTCCAGGCTATTAAACCTAATAAGCAAGCAACATAGAGTGGTGATTTCATGAACTATTAAGAGACTATACTGAACAAAAAAAACATGACCAATATAAACAAGGGAAAAACCCACTTACAAGTTCCTGACTAGGGACAGGCACAATAAAATTTCTTGTTGAACTATGAAAGAAGATGTACACAAATGAGACAGTCACTACACACAAAAAAATCCAAAAGAAATCTAGAGGGTCAACTGCAGAAGTTATTTGAGTACTTAACAGTTAGAACAACAGAAGGTGTTGAGAAATTTTTTTTGTGTCTATAGATTCTTAATATAAAAGAAGAATGTTTCCAAATAAAACTACCATGACTACAGCTGAAATATGTCAGGTTTCATTTAAAATTCACCATGATTACCAGGTGTTACTAATGATACTGGAATCCTGGAATAGGAATTGTCCTCAATTTTAAAATTTTGGGGTTTAATAAATTCTAGCATTTGTTGTGTTTATTTTCTATAATTACAGACAGTAATGTTTAGAAGGAGATCTAACAGATCTTCAATGGAGGAAATTTTTGAATGGGGATCATTTTCAGGCATCATTTATTTTTAGTATTAATCATATCGAATTAACAATAGTAAATATAATAAAAAATGTGAATTAACTACACACGTAAAAATTACAAAATAACATGCCTAATGTCTTTTGTTGTCCTATATTGTATACAAGGAAACTGTGTTCACTATATATAGCAATAAAATGATAAGCTGTCAACCTGAGACCATCCAGCTGGTGCTAAAGACAGTGAAAATCTTACCTCAGGTGCAACAAAATTTGCTGTATAACATGGTGTCATCAATAAGCCATTATCTGCTCTTAACTGTTTGGCAAATCCAAAATCACAAATACGTAAACTATCTGGTGAACCACTTGTATCTGCATACAATATGTTTGATGGCTTTAAATCTCTATGAACAACCTAAAATTGAAAAAGTGCATCATAAAAATGTTATTTCTTTTAGGGTTTAATAAACAAATTTCTTTCTGGTCCTAAAATTTCAACCTTACCTTAATTTCAAATAATAAAACATATAACTTTTTATTTTAAAGCTAGATTAAGCATTTTTCAACTTGATTTTTTTTTTAAATCCCTAAAATAAAAACAAAAATAAACTTTCATACTTTTAGTATAAATAAACAGTGCTATGAAAATTGATGTCAAATGTGACTTAATTGGAGTAAAATTCACCTAACCATTGAATTATTTTTCATTCTTTATCAATTTGTCAATTCTAATTCTAAACAATTCAATTGTTAATAGCACAAAATATTATTATTGCATGGTGCAAATATCAAATGAGTATATCAGAAACACTTACCCCATTAGAATGTAAATATTCAACCGTTTTCGTAACAACTTGTAGAACTGCACTGGCCTCTCTCTCAGAGAAAAATTTTTGCCGTAATATTTTGTCAAGAAGTTCTCCTCCTTGCATTAATTCTGTAACCATGTAAACTTTATTACCATTATCAAACACCTACAATTATTCATTTTGCAAACTGTTAATCAAACAATGAACATACTGGATAAAAACAAACAAGAATATAAGAATCTCATTATGATAATACTACTTGCAGTTGTGTTTTAATTGATCCAGTGACTTCCTCACTAAAGGTGAGTACTCTATCATCACCAATCATTCAGTTGGAGTAATAAGAGCTTTATAGACATTTGTCTTTCTTATGATTCCAAGTTTTTTTTTTAATTGATTTATGTCTTTAAATGCTTTAAAGTTCAAAAATAGTTAAGCATCATTTGATAATCTGAATTACTGTAAACCAACTTATTTTGGCAGATACTTGATTGCGCGTTTATCCCTTCCTAGCCCATTTTGCGATTTTCAAATTTACTTGATGCAGTTAAATAAGGAAAGATACCAGTTTTACATATTCGCGTTATTTTCTACTCGCAAAACTTAGTTGGTTTACAGTATCAATTTAAAAAAAATTACTCCACAAGGTTAATTTACAAATGACATTTTCTCTCACTTCTTGTGTACCATTATTTACCCTTCTAAGGAAAGCAATCAACTACATAGTTATTTGTACTATTTGTGTTGTTGTTCATGTTTTTGCTTCTATCATCTAGGAACCATTAAACTGACTTTTCTAAATACTTACATCACGTAACCGTATTATGTTACGATAGTGACCAAATCGTAATAAAATTTCTACTTCCTCTGATGGGTCCCTTTTTTCTTTTTCCATTATCTGAAATACAATTAAGCATATTCAGAATTCAAATTTTATTACAATAGGAAATAACAGTCTGTGTAAACTTCCTTAGTAGAAATGTAGATTTTAATTTTCTTGCCCCAAAAATGTGTCGATACTTACGATTATTCAAAAACTAAACATCATCAATTATGCAAAATGACTCCCCATTATTCCATATAATCTGGACCCCCAAACAGGATCAAGTAAAAAAAAATTGTAGGGTTCAGAAATGGAAAGACCAAAATCAATCTTGACCACTTATTTATCATAAGTGACAAAATATTGGAATTTAAGAAGTATATAAATACACACACATTTGTTCAGCAGGGGTGGGTAGGCAGAAATCATGAAGTCAATGATGAAAGAAAAATGTTTATGAGATTACAACCTTATTTAATATGAAACCATAGAATCTTGTGGTCACTCTAATAACTTTCCAGAAACCCACTTTCAAACGGTTGTTGTCATGTAATATAAGCATGGTTGATGGAAAAATGATAATGAAATTCGAACTTGACCTTATTCTAGTCACAGGAAACAACATATCTAAATTTTAAAAGATTTCGTCTAAGCATTTTCAAGTTTTTGCAAGGACAATCTCTAAACATCACTTTTCGCTACTTAAAGGGTCTACAACTCAACAACGATAAAAGCTAAAATCGTGAAAATCGAACTTGACCTTCATTTAGTCACAGGAAACAACATATCTAAATTTGAAAAGATTTTGTTGAAGTGTTCCAAATTATTGCATGGACAATACTCTAAGTATTGATTTTTGCTACTTAAAGGTCTACAACTCAACGACAATATAAGCTAAAATAGTGAAAATCAAACTTGACTTTTATTTAGTCACAGGAAACAACATATCTAATTTTGAAAAGTGTTTTCAAGTAAATGCACGGACACGGTTTGGCAGCTGCCTGCCCGCCCGCCGTACATCACCAAATCAATAACCTATATTTTCCTTCGGAAACCTGGTTAATGAAGTCCATTTCATCAGATAAATATGGAAAAAATTCTAAAAATATTTTTTAAATCTTGTTCTAGATATTAAATTTTTGTCATTATAAAGCTTCTGTCCAAATTTCATGAAGTTATCGATGTATAAATTTTTTTTTATTACAGACTGAACCTTAATGCCACCAACACTACCAATGATGGATGTAGGATCGCAATGTCCGCTTGCATGACATAAATGATGCAGGCTCGAAAAAAGAGACACATTTTTTTTATCCAGTGTTATTGTTGTTAAGCAAACAAATGTTACCATGTGAAATTAAAATTTGGACTAGATAATAATCTCAATACAGGTGATAAGCATATCAAAAGTGAGGACGACTGTTGTTTAATGAATATACAAGACTGATTGGTGCTTGCTTAACATCCAGTGGCAATTTGGATATACAGGAAGACCTAAGGACAAAATAAATGTGGATAGTGTCCACATGTGGACACAGATGATGCCCCCGCTTGCATATCATATAGTTATAAAGGGACATAACTGAAGAACAGTAAAAGTGACGCTACCCAAATTTGAACTTGATCTGAGTTTTGTGTGTAAGTCTCATAACATTTGGTTGAGGCTAACTTAAGTAGAGAACAGAAACTAAAAATTCAGCAATTTTTCTATTTATAAAGGGGCATAACTCAATAATGGTTAAAGTGACACTACCCAAATTCAACTTGATCTGTGTTTTATCAGTGGAAGTCAAAATCAAACATTGCATTGTATAAAGCATTGATTGTAGTTGATTCAACTATAATCATGGACAAAGGAAGATAACTCCAATTTAAAAAATAACTTGATATTTAGAAGAAAATAAAAATTTTGCAATTTTTTCCATTTATAAAGGGGCCTAACTCTAGAACGGTTAAAGTGACGCCACCAAAATTCAAACTTGGTCTGTGTTTTGTGGTAATAAGCATTGTGTGTAAGTTTCATAACATTTGGTTGAGGCAAACTTAAGTTAGAGAACAGAAACTAAAATATTTGCAATTTTTCCATTTATAAAGGGGCATAACTCTAGAACGGTTAAAGTGACGCCACCAAAATTCAAACTTGATCTGTGTTTTGTGGTAATAAGCCTTGTATATAAGTTTCATAACATTTGGTTGAGGCAAACTTAAGTTAGAGGACGGAAACTAAAAATTATGCAATTTTTCCATTTATAAAGGGGCATAACTCTAAAACGGTTAAAGTGACGCCACCAAAATTCAAACTTGATCTGTGTTTTGTTGTAATAAGCCTTGTGTATAAGTTTCATAACGTTTGGTTGAGGCAAACTTAAGTAAGGGAACGGAAACTAAAAATTTTGCAATTTTTCCATTTATAAAGGGGCATAACTCTAGAACGGTTAAAGTGACGCCACCAAAATTCAAACTTGATCTGTGTTTTGTGGTAATAAGCATCCTGTATAAGTTTCATAACATTTGGTTGAGGCAAACTCAAGTTAGAGAATGGAAACCAATTTTGGGACGTACGTACGTACTTACAGACGGACAAGGGTAAAACTTAATGCCCCCACCGCTACGGCGGGGGCATAATTATTGTCTTAAACAGCCATTCAGATATATATATATTTCTTAAAAGCCCTCTTTTATCTTAACAAGACATACCTTTACTGCATAACTCTGCCCTGACAACTTGTGGATACATCTCTTGCATACAGAGTAAGAGCCTATTCCAATATCCTAAAAAAGAGATACATAAATATAAACAGCTGTGTCAAGAGCACATGATACACCCTTATTGTGCATATTGAAATTGTTGCAAAGAATAGAATGGAATGCATTTAATCAAAAGCAAATAAAATAGCCCTGTAGAAAAAAATAAATGAGGATACAATAAGACATAAAAAATATTGTGTCAAATATGACTGTTGAAAGTCCCATAACTATGGAATGACAAACCAAAAAGTCCACAAAAAGTGTTGAGTTTGAAAACATTTTTTTTTAATCGAACATTGAGTTATATTCACCTGCTCCAACGTTTATGTAAAGTTTCCAGTATATAAATCCAAGCAAACTCAAATTATGGTACAACTGGAATTTTTTTTCTTAAATCTGACATTTAAAGTCCTGTAATTCTTGAACGATAAACCATAAATTAAATATAATAAAAATTGAGCTTCCTTTTATCAATCCCAATAATTACAATAAGATTTGATCAATCTAGACGTAATAGAGTATGTGCCTTATTTTAAAAAGTTAAAGTCCTGTCACTCTGGAACGACATGGCCAAAAATATATAGTACAAGTCCACAATTTTAAAACAGACATCTAGAAATGATGTCATCTTACAAATTAACTGCTAAATTTCAACCAAAATCAAATACAATTATTGTGTGTATTTATCAATGCAAATCCTAAACCAATAGTGAAAATGCAAAATCTAATTAATGCCAATGTTCCAAAAAATTATCAAAGAAAATTGCAACTAATATTATGAATTTAATTTTTTATTATTGTAACCTTGAAACTTTCTCATTTTTTTGCATTAATAAACACATCGCAATAATTTAACATTATACTTGTGCAGGTCACCTTATAAAACTGAATTTACAGTATCTGTTTAATTTCTTTGTCTTTTTATTATACCATTTTTAAAAAAAATAAAAAGGTGTTTAACAGTTTACTAACACAGCCAAACTAGTTGTGCAGATAAAAATTATATATAAATTCAATACAAAATACATGAACACATCATGCATACAGACTAGTGTAGCAGTGTTATATTTAAAAAGACTACATATAGGAACCACTACTATCACAAAGACAAAACTTACCTCTTTCATTTCATATTCTTCAGAAAATGATATGGCCTTGACACCAGGCAGCTATAAAGATACAAACAATATTACATTACCAATAATCAACATTAATATCTTAATTATTACTGTGATTTATTTCATGTCATGGATCTTATGCTGAAAACTTGTTAGCTACATCATGTTCTCTAGAATATGCCTGTACTAAATCAGATATATTAGACAGCCAGTAACTGGTAGTGTCTATGATTGCATATCACAATCCAACTAGTTACATTGAATTATAAGGTACCCTTGACAGCTGTAAAATTTTTAGTTTATTCCTTTTCACTTAACAAATTTGAAATTATGTTTAGTCATAAAAGCTACAATTTTCTCGTTGTTTTAACAACTACATGTACTAAAAAGATATAGTCTCAGTGCTAAGGATGAAAAATTTGAACTGTTTACTTTTTACTTGCAACTTGTCCGATTATTCTGATTTCCAAAAGAGATATTAAATAAAATGCTCCGCAGGGCGCAGCTTGATACGACCGCAGAGGTCGAACCCTGAACAGTTGGGGCAAGTATGGACACAACATTCAAGCTTGATACAGCTCTGAATTTGGATTGTGATTAAATATTTGACACAGCATAGGTTTCTGACACAGAATGAATGTGGTCTAAGAACTTAAAAATTTTAAATTGGACATTCACCTATTATGGTCCAATATCCAAAATCTAAATACATGGTTAGATTCAGCATATCAAAGAACCCCAAGAATTCAATTTTTGATGAAATCAAACAAAGTTTAATTTTGGACCCCGATTTGGACCAACTTGAAAACTGGGCCCATAATCAAAAATCTAAATACATGTTTAGATTCAGCATATCAAAGAACCCTAAAAATTCAATTTTTGTTAAAATCAAACTAAGTTTAATTTTGGACCCTTTGGACCTTAATGTAGACCAATTTGAAAACGGAACCAAAAATTAAGAATCTAAATACACGGTTAGATTCGGCATATCAAAGAACCCCAATAATTCAATTTTTGATGAAATCAAACAAAGTTAAATTTTGGACCCTTTTGACCTCAATGTGGACAAAGTTGATAACGGGGCCCAAAAATCAAAAATCTAAATACATGGTTAGATTCAGCATATCAAAGAACCCCATATATTCAATTTTTGTTGAAATCAAACAAAGTTTAATTTTGGACCCCGATTTGGACCAACTTGAAAACTGGGCCCATAATCAAAAATCTAAATACATGTTTAGATTCAGCATATCAAAGAACCCTAAAAATTCAATTTTTGTTAAAATCAAACTAAGTTTAATTTTGGACCCTTTGGACCTTAATGTAGACCAATTTGAAAACGGAACCAAAAATTAAGAATCTAAATACATGGTTAGATTCAGCATATCAAAGAACCCCAATAATTCAATTTTTGATGAAATCAAACAAAGTTAAATTTTGGACCCTTTGGACCTCAATGTGGACCAATTTAAAAACAGGGCCCAAAATCCAAAAACTTAATACACGGTTAGATTCAGCATATTAAAGAACCCCAAGAATTCAAGAATAAAACCCCATTGAAATTGATCAAGAAATAAGCAATTTATAGGAAGTATCTTCTTTTGCACAATACTGTGCAATTGAATATTTCTTGCTATTGCGCAATACTGTACAATTGACAATTTCTTGCTATTGCGCAATATTGTGCTATTGGATATTTCTTGCTATTGCGCAATACTGTGCAATTGAAGATTTCTTGCTATTGCGCAATACTGTGCAATTGAAGATTTCTTGCTATTGTGCAATACTGTGCAATTGAAAATTTCTTGCTATTGCACAATACTTATTAGATAATAATTTACACATCCTGTTTGGTGTGTATCTCCTACCATATCATTATTATTTGCTTTTAAATATTAATCAGAAATAACCAACTTAAAATGGAAAATTTTAAAAGAAAAAAAAAAGGAAAAAAAGAAAAAAAAAGAAAAAAAAAATCCCCCCCCCCCAATTTTTTGAACCCCCTTATGATTCATCACCCCCAAACTCAATCCCAGCCTTCCCTTTGTGGTATGGTACCTTGCAGTACAATTTCAGAGAGATCCATACACTTGAACACAAGTTATTGTCTGGAAACTAGAAAAATGCTTATTTCTGGCCCCTTTTTGGCCCCCAATTCCTAAACGTTTCGGGCAATTACCCCCAAACTCAATTCCAGCTTTCCCTTTGTGATATGGAACCTTGTAGTACAATATCAGAAATATCCAAACACTTACACACAAGTTATTGTCATGAAACTAGAAAAATGCTTGTTTTTTGCCCCTTTTTTGGCCCCTAATTCCTAAAATTTTGAGGCAATTACCCCCAAAATCAATTACAGCCTTTCCTTTGTGATATGGAACCGTGTGGTACAATGTCAGAGAGATCCATACACTTACACACAAGTTATTGTCTGGAAGTTACAAAAATGCTTATTTTTGGCCCCTTTTTGACCCCTAATTCCTTAACTGTTGGTACCATAACCCCCAAAATCAATCCCAACCTTCCTTTCGTGGTATTGAACCTTATGGTAAAATTTCATGGAGATCCATTCACTTAAACTAAAGTTAGAGTGCGAAAACCAATGTGTCTTCGGACGACGCCGGACGACGCAAGACGACGACGACGACGCCGGACGACGACGACGCCAACGTCATACCAATATACGACCAAAAAATTTTTAATTTTTGCGGTCGTATAAAAAGTTAGTCACTAAATTGAAATTTGTAATGAAACAAAGATACAAATCAATCTGTAAAGTAGGCAGAGTTTCACTGTTATGTATGAGCTTATTAAAATTAAAATACATTTTACCAGCTGCAATAAAAAATGTCAACAGTTGGAGAGATTTCCCTGTCTAACATAAACCTATAACAGACTGTTGTAAGCATTCCAACAATCATGCTACGAAAGTTTTATATTAAATGATAGTAGTCTCAAAATCTCGTAACCAAGAGTTCTTTACTATGTTGTGATTGACTGAGAACATCATATGATATAAAATGCTCCGCAGGGCGCAGCTTGATACGACCGCAGAGGTCGAACCCTGAACAGTTGGGGGAAGTATGGACACAACATTCAAGCTTGATACAGCTTTGGATTTGGATTGTGATTAAATATTTGACACAGCATAGGTTTCTAACACAGATTGAATGTGGTCTAAGAACTTAAACATTTTAAATTGGACATTCACCTATTATGGTCCAATATCCAAAATCTAAATACATGGTTAGATTCAGCATATCAAAGAACCCCAAGAATTCAATTTTTGATGAAATCAAACAAAGTTTAATTTTGGACCCTTTTGACCTCAATGTGGACAAAATTGATAACGGGGCCCAAAAATCAAAAATCTAAATACATGGTTAGATTCAGCATATCAAAGAACCCCATATATTCAATTTTTGTTGAAATCAAACAAAGTTTAATTTTGGACCCCGATTTGGACCAACTTGAAAACTGGGCCCATAATCAAAAATCTAAATACATGTTTAGATTCAGCATATCAAAGAACCCTAAGAATTCAATTTTTGTTAAAATCAAACTAAGTTTAATTTTGGACCCTTTGGACCTTAATGTAGACCAATTTGAAAACGGAACCAAAAATTAAGAATCTAAATACATGGTTAGATTCGGCATATCAAAGAACCCCAATAATTCAATTTTTGATGAAATCAAACAAAGTTTAATTTTGGACCCTTTTGACCTCAATGTGGACAAAGTTGATAACGGGGCCCAAAAATCAAAAATCTAAATACATGTTTAGATTCAGTATATCAAAGAACCCTAAGAATTCAATTTTTGTTAAAATCAAACTAAGTTTAATTTTGGACCCTTTGGACCTTAATGTAGACCAATTTGAAAACGGAACCAAAATTTAAGAATCTAAATACACAGTTAGATTCGGCATATCAAAGAACCCCAATAATTCAATTTTTGATGAAATCAAACAAAGTTTAATTTTGGACCCTTTGGACCTCAATGTGGACCAATTTAAAAACGGGGCCCAAAATCCAAAAACTAAATACACGGTTAGATTCAGCATATTAAAGAACCCCATGAAATCAAGAATAAAACCCCATTGAAATTGGTCAAGAAATAAGCAATTTATAGGAAGTATCTTCTTTTGCACAATCCTGTGCTATTAAATATTTCTTGCTATTGCGCAATACTGTACAATTGACAATTTCTTGCTATTGTGCAATATTGTGCTATTAGATATTTCTTGCTATTGCGCAATACTGTGCAATTGAAGATTTCTTGCTATTGCGCAATACTGTGCAATTGAAGATTTCTTGCTATTGTGCAATACTGTGCAATTGAAAATTTCTTGCTATTGCACAATACTTATTATATAATAATTTACACATCCTGTTTGGTGTGTATCTCCTACCATATCATTATTATTTGATTTTAAATATAAATCAGAAATAACCAACTTAAAATGGAAAATTTTAAAAGAAACAAAAAAGGAAAAAAAGAAAAAAAAGGAAAAAAAAATAAATCCCCCCCCCCAAAATTTTTTGAACCCCCATTATGATTCATCACCCCCAAACTCAATCCCAGCCTTCCCTTTGTGGTATGGTACCTTGCAGTACAATTTCAGAGAGATCCATACACTTGAACACAAGTTATTGTCTGGAAACTAGAAAAAAATGTGTTTTTTGGCCCCTTTTTGGCCCCAAATTCCTAAACGTTTAGGGCAATTACCCCCAAACTCAAACCCAGCTTTCCCTTTGTGATATGGAACCTTGTAGTACAATTTCAGAAAGATCCATACACTTACACACAAGTTATTGTCATGAAACTAGAAAAATGCTTGTTTTTTGCACCTTTTTTGGCCCCTAATTCCTAAAATTTGGAGGCAATTACCCCCAAAATCAATCCCAGCATTCCTTTAGTGATATGGAACCTTGTGGTACAATGTCAGAGAGATCCATACACTAACACACAAGTTATGTCTGGAAGTTACAAAAATGCCTATTTTTGGCCCCTTTTTGGCCCCTAATTCCTTTACTGTTATTACCATAACCCCCAAAATCAATCCCAACCTTCCTTTTGTGGTATTGAACCTTGTGGTAAAATTTCATAAAGATCCATTCACTTAAACTAAAGTTAGAGTGCGAAAACCAATGTGTCTTCGGACGACGCCGACGACGACGCCGACGCCAACGTCATACCAATATACGACCACAAAAATTTTTTTGCGGTCGTATAATAAAAGGAGATGTATACTGAACAAATATCAAGTTCAGGTGGTATTTCTTTCCCCAATTATCGCACTTAACATGATAAATCTGTTCATTTACACAATCAAATATCTTATTGGTTAAAAGGGTGTATACATTTGGGCAAATACCACATAAGAGAGGGTAAAAAAGAGATATTCTTGTCATGTACATTTGTGGTTGTGAAATATGAACAAAACTCATCTGATAAAAGTAAATACATGAAAAATAAACTGAATCAAAAGCCGAAATACTAATATAAGATGTAATTAATCAATAAAACAGCCATGCAACAATAATACCAGGTCAACATAAGGTCTTAACAGTATAAATCAGGGGTATGTACCATATGTCAAGCTCTAAGTAGTTCAGAGTCTAGATAACAAGTTGTGAATCACGTATCCTTCAAAACGATAAAAATTTTCATTGTTGTTGGTTTCTTTTAGGAAACTATAAACTTACATTTTTAAGATTGTGATTGTCCAGTAATGGATTCTTAACCTCTCTGTTGTCATCTAGTAAAGCTGGTGCTACAAAACTGAACCCTCTGAATAATTCATGAGCTGTAGCTGATGGTGGGATACCGGGTGAATCTACAATTAAGACAGTTCTGTGTTACACAAATTGTTTTTCTGATTACTAATCTGTTACATGTTGTATTTTTACAACAAATATATATGCGGCAATACTTAAAAATATAACTTATCAGTTCATTAGTTCATTATCTTCACATTTTTTAATACATTTTCATATTAGATTTATGTTTTTAATTACTCAATGAAGTTTGTAGACAAACATTATACATGTACCTTAAAAATGGAACTCAGCTGCACATTAATTCATAATCTAAACATTTTTCTAAGATTTGCAATTGAATCAGTTAAAATCTGAAATTATAATACAATTGTCAAACTATAAGTAGCGCATTTGGCAGTGTGCATCCTGTGTTTCTTCAAAGATAGAGGTTGTTGTACATTCACTGCATTGGCTGTGTGCAACCTGTGTTTCTCCAATGATAAAGGCTTGTTGTACAGTCTAAATAAATTACCTTTAGGAGTTCTGGATGTAAATTCTTGGTCAAAATAAAAAGCATCATCTGTTTGTACTACTGCTGGCTTAAAAGGTGGGTTTAATATTTTTTTATACAGTTTATCAAAATCTATGGTGGAAAAAAATGGTTGTTTCTTCATGTCTTCAATGCCATTGGCACCTGTCCCTAAAAAAGATATTTTGTCAAGTTTTAAATTTATATATCTGTGGCAAAAGAAAACATGTAAAAATTTCTGACCTGCATAAGTTGAAAATTGTTTAAAGGAATTATAATGATTTTTATTATTTCTTAATATAGGTTTGGTAACATTTTCAGATTTAGCCCATGGTTTGCCAAGAAATGAAGGTCAATTTGAAAACAATAAATTTTATGACTGAAAATAATATACTGTGAATTCAAACATTTTTAGGATGTATTATTTATTGTGAAAAATGCAACAGGATTCTAATTTTCTATAACTTTAGTTAGGGCATTATTTTTATGCAGCATTTTCTGAAATGACATCTGTCATATATTTTTGCAGGTTAAAGGGGCATTAGCTACGAGATTTAAAAAAATTTGAAATATGATTTTTTTTTTTCAATCAGTAATGAAAGTGAAATAAAATGCTCCGCCGGGGGCAGCTTGATACGACCGCAGAGGTCGAACCCTGAACAGTTGGGGCAAGTATGGACACAACATTCAAGCTTGATACAGCTTTGCATTTGGATTGTGATTAAATATTTGACACAGCATAGGTTTCTGACATAGAATGAATGTGGTCTAAGAACTTAAAAATTTTAAATTGGACATTCACCTATTATGGTCCAATATCCAAAATCTAAATACATGGTTAGATTCAGCATATCAAAGAACCCCAAGAATTCAATTTTTGATGAAATCAAACAAAGTTTGATTTTGGACCCTTTTGACCTCAATGTGGACAAAATTGATAACGGGGCCCAAAAATCAAAAATCTAAATACATGGTTAGATTCAGCATATCAAAGAACCCCATATATTCAATTTTTTGTTGAAATCAAACAAACTTTAATTTTGGACCCCGATTTGGACCAACTTGAAAACTGGGCCCATAATCAAAAATCTAAATACATGTTTAGATTCAGCATATCAAAGAACCCTAAGAATTCAATTTTTGTTAAAATCAAACTAAGTTTAATTTTGGACCCCTTGGACCTTAATGTAGACCAATTTGAAAACGGAACCAAAAATTAAGAATCTAAATACACGGTTAGATTCGGCATATCAAAGAACCCCAATAATTCAATTTTTGATGAAATCAAACAAAGTTTAATTTTGGACCCTTTGGACCTCAATGTGGACCAATTTAAAAACGGGGCCCAAAATCCAAAAACTAAATACACGGTTAGATTCAGCATATTAAAGAACCCCAAGAATTCAAGAATAAAACCCCATTAAAATTGGTCAAGAAATAAGCAATTTATATGAAGTATTTTCTTTTGCACAATACTGTGCAATTAAATATTTCTTGCTATTGCGCAATACTGTACAATTGACAATTTCTTGCTATTGCGCAATATTGTGCTATTGGATATTTCTTGCTATTGCGCAATACTGTGCAATTGAAGATTTCTTGCTATTGCGCAATACTGTGCAATTGAAGATTTCTTGCTATTGTGCAATACTGTGCAATTGAAAATTTCTTGCTATTGCACAATACTTATTATTTAATAATTTACACATCCTGTTTGGTGTGTATCTCCTACCATATCATTATTATTTGCTTTTTAATATAAATCAGAAATAACCAACTTAAAATGGAAAATTTTAAAAGAAAAAAAAAAGGAAAAAAAGAAAAAAAATCCCCCCCCCCCCAAATTTTTTGAACTCCCTTATGATTCATCACCCCCAAACTCAATCCAAGCCTTCCCTTTGTGGTATGGTACCTTGCAATACAATTTCAGAGAGATCCATACACTTGAACACAAGTTATTGTCTGGAAACTAGAATAAACAGCTGCGCCATGAGCGCATGATACGCCCGTCGTCTTGTGTGTGAATTTTTATGCAATAAGCATAAATAGTTTCTGACATACGGCGTGACATGCGAAAACCCCCCTTTTTTTTATACAAAAAACTCAACATCTCTAAAATAAAATTTTGAATCAAAACCAAAAAGTATACAGATCTTTAGATTAATATAACTAAGAAGTGTGTAAAATTTTAAGCAATAATCATAAATCGTTTTTGAAATACAGCGCGACATGTGAAAAACCCCTCCCTCTTTTTTTACAAAATACTCAATAACTCAAAAATAAAATTTTGAATCATCACCAAAAAGTATACAGATCTTAAGGTTAATATAACTAAGAAGTGTGTAAAGTTTTAAGCAATAGTCATAAACTGTTTTTGAGATACGGCGCGACATGTGAAAAACCCCTCCCCCTTTTTTAACAAAATACTCAATATCTCTAAAATAAAATTTTGAATCATCACCAAAAAGTATAGAGATTTTAAGATTAATATAACTAAGAAGTGTGTAAAGTTTTAAGCAATAATCATAAATTGTTTTTGAGATACGGCGCTACATGTGAAATAAAATGCTTCGCTGGGGCGCAGCTTGATACGACCGCAGAGGTCGAACCCTGAACAGTTGGGGCAAGTATGGACACAACATTCAAGCTTGATGCAGCTCTGAATTTGGATTGTTATTAAATATTTGACACAGCATAGGTTTCTGACACAGAAAGAATGTGGTCTAAGAACTTGAATTTTTTTAATTTACCTATTATGGTCCAATGTCCAAAATCAAAATACATGGTTAGATTCAGCATATCAAAGAACCCCATATATTCAATTTTTGTTAAAATCAAACAAAGTTTAATTTTGGACCCCAACTTGGACAAACTTGAAAACTGGGCCCATAATCAAAAATCTAAACATATGTTTAGATTCAGCATATCAAAGAACCCCAAGAAATCAATTTTTGCTAAAATCAAACTAAGTTTAATTTTGGACCCTTTGGACCTTAATGTAGACCAATTTAAAAAACAGGACTTAAAATAAAAAAATCTAAATACACGGTTAGATTTGGAATATCAAAGAACCCCAATAATTCAATTTTTGATGAAATCAAACAAAGTTTAATTTTGGACCCTTTTGACCTCAATATGAACCAATTTGATAGCGGGGCCCACAAATAAAATATCTAAATTCATGGTTAGATTCAGCATATCAAAGAACCCCATATATTCAATTTTTGTTGAAATCAAAAAAAGTTTAATTTTGGACCCCAACTTGGACCAACTTGAAAACTGGGTCCATAATCAAAAATCTAAACACATGTTTAGATTCAGCATATCAAAGAACCCCAAGAATTCAATTTTTGTTAAAATCAAACTAAGTTTAATTTTGGACCCTTTGGACCTCAATGACGACCAATTTAAAAAACAGGACCCAAATTAAACATCTAAAACACGGTTAGATTTGGCATATCAAAGAACCCCAATAATTCAATTTTTGATGAAATAAAACAAAGTTTAATTTTGGACCCTTTTGACCTCAATATGAACCAATTTGATAGCGGGGCCTTCAAATAAAAAATCTAAATACATGGTTAGATTCAGCATATCAAAGAACCTCATATATTCAATTTTTGTTGAAATCAAACAAAGTTTAGTTTTGGACCCCAATTTGGACCAACTTGAAAAACTGGGCCCATAATCAAAAATCTAAATACATGTTTAGATTCAGCATATCAAAGAACCCCATATATTCAATTTTTGTTGAAATCAAACAAAGTTTAAATACTGGACCCTATCTTGGACCAACTTGAAAACTGGGCCCATAATCAAAAATCTAAACACGTTTAGATTAGCATATCAAAGAACCCCAAGAATTCAATTTTTGTTAAAATCAAACTAAGTTTAATTTTGGACCCTTTGGACCTTAATGTAGACCAATTTAAAAAACAGGACCCAAAATTAAAAATCTAAATACACGGTTAGATTTGGAATATCAAAGAGCCCCAATAATTCAATTTTAGATGAAATCAAACAAAGTTTAATTTTGGACCCTTTTGACCTCAATATGAACCAATTTGATAACGGGGTCCACAAATAAAAAATCTAAATACATGGTTAGATTCAGCATATCAAAGAACCCCATATATTCAATTTTTGTTGAAATCAAACAAAGTTTAATTTTGGACCCCAATTTGGACCAACTTGAAAACTGGGCCAAAAATCAAAAATCTAAATACATGATTAGATTCAGCATATCAAAGAACCTCATATATTCAATTTTTGCTAAAATCAAACAAAGTTTAATTTTGGACCCTTTGGACCTTAATGTAGACTATTTTGAAAACTGGACCCAAAATTAAAAATCTAAATACACTGTTAGATTCGGCATAACAAATAAATAAATGTGATCAAAGATTTTACAAATCTAATGTGCCATACTGTGCAATTAAAGATTACTTCTTGAAATTTTTCAATATTTGAAATTTGAAAAAAAAATAATATTTGAAGAATAATTCTTTTTAATTTCTGAAATCTGAAATGAGAAAAAATTGACCCCCCACAATTTCTTTTTATCCCCCCCCCCTTTTTCCCCCAAAAAAATTCTTTCCCTCAAGATATGGTCATAATCTCAATTCAAATTTCCAATGGAGTTGGCAACCATAATTACCAATTTAATTTTACCATAGTGCTAACTTAATCTATTTTATAAAAGAATTAAAAATATAGTGTCAAATCTTTCATATAGATTTTTTTGTAAAATAAAATGATGCAACATTTGCAGATATTTTTACTGGTCTTCCTTTATAAATATGCATTTCTTTAAACATAATTTAAAAGCAGTGTAAGGGAAGTAACCAAAACGTTGTATTTGAATTACCTCCCTTACACTGTTTTAAATTATCTTTATTGTTCATTAACCATTACTTTATACATAATTTAAAAGCAGTGTAAGGGAGATAATTTCAATGATGTATTTGATTTATCTCCCTTACACTGCTTTAAATTATGTTTTGTACTAAAGTATTTGTCCATTAACCAGGACAACCTTGTTTTTCCCCCTTTTTTGCCCCTAATTCCTAAACGGTTTGAGCCATACCCCCCCAAAGCAAATCCTAACCATCCCTTTGTGGTATGGAAACTTGTAGTATAATTTCAGAGAGATCCATACACTGTTCCACAGTTATTGTCTGGAAACTAGAAAATGCTTATTTTTGGCCCCTAATTCCTTAACTGTTGGTACCATAACCCCCAAAATCAATCCCAACCTTCCTTTTGTGGTATTTAACCTTATGGTAAAATTTCAAAAAGATCCATTCACTTAAACTAAAGTTAGAGTGCGAAAACCAATGTGTATTCGGACGACGACGACGACGACATACCAATATACGACCACAAAAATTTTTTTGCGGTCGTATAAAAAAACACACACCTGTTTTAGTTACTAAGTCCCGTAACTCAAAAAGTTTTCATCTTATTATCACCAAAAAGTATACAGATTGTTTGACCATCATAAGAAACAACTATGTTAAGTTTCATGAAATTTGGATAAGTCATTCTCAAGTTACGGTGCGACATGTTTACGCCGGACATTTGTAAACCATAATACGTCCCGTCAAAAATTTGACGAGCGTAATTTCACGGGCGTATAAAAATGGGATCTCTCGTCAGATACATGAAACCTCATACTTTAGGTGACCCATTTCTTAACGTAGTTTAACTAAAACTGACTTACTAACGAAAATGTAATGCAAATATCTTTGATTCTGTCAACTATAAAAAAGATCTATTCATTGGATAGCTTACCTAATCTATTCGCTGGATTTCTTTTAAATAAGCATCTTAGTAATCCTTGAGCTTCTGGACTTAAAAACTGTGGCATTCCTAATTTGGCTCTGAAAATATTCAAATATTGTAAAAATTCAGTTGAGAATTTAAAAGCTTCTCTTAATATTCTACAACAAAGTATGAAACAAAAACATTTTCTTTCAATTGTCGTACCTACAATCCCACCCCACTCTCCCCAAATGTGACCTACCGAATAAGAATTATTACCGGGTTTTAACTTACATGAGGAATATGACAGGTACCACATGTGGAGCAAGATCTTCTTACCCTTCCGGAGCACCAGAGATCACCCCAGGTTTATGGTGGGGTTCGTGTTGCTCAGTCTGTAGTTTTCTATGTATTGTTTTGTGTACTGTTGTTTATCTGTTGGTCTTTTTCTTTTTTAGTCATGGCTTTGTCATTTATTTTTTCGACTTGAAAGTCCTTTTGGTATCTTTCGCCTCTCTTCTACTTCCCAACATGGGAAAGACATTGTTAAATCAACAAAAATAAGAACACTGTCCAAGATAATGGGCATTTAAAAAAACTTATTCTTCCCATTTTTTTTAACTGTGAATGGAATCTGTCTTAAGTAGTAAATAAGAGATGGATTTTTTGTATTTTTGCAAGTCAAAAGTTTTTCTTGAACTTACTTCAATATTTGAGTCATAGTTTCCTTTCTGTTGGATCCTTGGAATGGTAAAGCACCTGTCAACATTTCAAACTAAGAAAAAAAAATATTTTAAATTACACAATATCAAAATAAATATGCAGATATAAAAGTTCCATTATTCCCCAAAAAACACAATACAAAATGACATAATTTATTTAAACAGAGATGATCTGGCCCTGCTCCTTCAGTCATGGTTCATTGACTTAGACAGTTTTGCTTAGTTTACATGTTCTAGTGTGCCCATTTAAATTTCAACAATTGCATTAAACGATCAAAATTACATACAGACAAGACACTGAGGTACTAAAAGTGGTTCCCCTTAAACTGACTGTACTACATAATTAAAGCTATGCTGGTATTGCAAAACCAATAGACCATCAGACTGAGACAATGACCGAGAAGATTGGAAAAAAAGATCTCTATGAAAATGAGATGTGCTAACGCTAATACAACTGCATACCAACTATCACTGACTTAATTGGTAATTCTACTAAAACTGACATAATCAGATACAAATTGTTAACGCTGACGCGGAAAATAGCACATATTTTGTTTTGCATTTGTTGTTGAATTAATACAGGACGATGAAGATTGTTGGGTGTATCACTCTGAAATATATCTCTATATTCCTCAGGTTCATAAATAGGTATTATCAATCACCCTATTTCACTGTAATTCTCTTTACCCCAGAAAGAGTGATTTTTTACTCAATCACATTGTGTGTACTGATGTAAAGATTTTATTACCAATCAACTTACCATAAGAACACCATATGACCACCAGTCTGCTGCAGTTCCATGACCCTTTCTATTGACAACCTCAGGGGCCATATACTCTACTGTACCACAAAAAGAATATGTCTTCTTTTCTTCAAATACAGATTCTTTACTCAGTCCAAAGTCTGTTAATTTGATATGACCATCTGAATCAAGTAAAATGCTGAAAGACAAAAAAAGTGTATACTTAATCAAAAAGTTGAATCAACTTAAATGTTATCAATTATTCTATATGTCCATGTAGAACATGGCTATATATTAAGGATATTTTCATCTTTTCTGTGTGATGTTATAATCATCAACATGAATACTGTAAATTCGAAAATTATTGCTTGCATTTATTAATGCAGCTTTTGAAGAATTAACAAAAATGCAAGTTTAATTATTTAGGTAAAGCTACGTACAGATGTATGTATTTGATATCAGAATGTGAGTTTTTATTATTGCGATACTCAAGTAGTCGCATTAATAAAACCCTCGCAATAATTTCTGAATTTACAGTAACCATCCTAATATTAAATTCTGAAACACTATCATGAGGTCATCAACTTAAATTACATCATTAATCAATCTGTTCTTACTGTGACATGATAACAAAAGCATTGTGACATAGAAAATGTACTGATATACACACAGTTGAAAGTCGTCTATACAAACACTCACTTCTCTGGCTTCAGATCTCTGTAGACAATACCAACTGAATGCAAATGATCCAAGGCCATAGCCAGCTCAGCCAGGTAAAACTTCACATCCTCTTCTGTAAACATCACCTAAAATACATCAAAACAAAGCTTCAATTACTATTCAACATTCTGCTCTAATTATATTATATAAGCATTACACAGGGCAAAAAAAATGTGTTTAAGGTTTCTTGCTAAAATTTATCAGGATTTTTTTTTGCTCGCAAGCCAGAAAATCATTTCTCACATAATTCAGTTTAAGTTTTGAATATTGCTTTACTGTAAGTTCTCTATTCGTAATCTGTCAAAAAAATATTAATGATGATAACCATTATTTGGATCGTTTGGTAAAATAACTTAGCAGTTACAACTGGAAAGTGTCATTGAAAAGTTTATGGTGAAGAAAGCCTCATTAAGCATAGGAGTTGTAGCTCAATTAGGTTCTGTAAAAAGACTTCATCATACAAAGTATATGAAAATTCATTAAAGAAATGTTTAATAAAATTAAAGTTTCATCAAGTCTAAAAACTAAATAAGACACAAAAATGAAATCATTATCAGTCTATCATAAATTATTCCACAACTCACATAAAGAGTTTTTTTTTCAACAAGTTTTGTACAAATTTAACAAAGATGAATGTAAACAATTAAGTAAACAATTTTTATTTAATACCTATCAACAAACTGTCAACTGAAAGCAGGTATTTATTAAACCAATAAAATATTAACAGTGTTCTCCCCAGGCCCTTAAAGGACGGCGGGCCAGCGATGTATAATTTTTTACCGTGGTGGTATCGTTCTTACCGCGACGTATAATTTTTCTCCGTGGTGCTAAAATTTTCAGTTAAAAAATCGTAAATCGGTAAAGTTTTAAACGACTTGTTAAATCTTTTCCGTGCGGTATAAAATTCCAGGTGAAATTTGACCAGTTCAAACCAGTTCAACACAGATTGTTTACACCTCGTGATCGATTTACCTTATTAGGTTAACCTTGTTGATTGGATTTAATCGATGTAATTAACACTTGTAACATGATTCTTTTGTGTTTTAATTAAGAGTTCATAACTTTATGATCACAGATAACAATTTTATGGCTTCACTCTCCACCCAAGCACTGACCTGTGACAAGTCGGCAAATACTTTGTACACAAACAGTGTCTTGACCAGATAGGTACATTTTTTGTACATCATAATGGTGGCTCATTACTATAATGGACAACTATGCATTTCCCAATTCTTATATTATAGTATTATATGTCTCTGATTAAACCATGGCCAATATTATCTTTAATTATGACATAGTTATTGCATGATAGTTGGGTTTCAAACTATAGTATCTGTCTGTACATATCACATGACCCAGTCAGTTCACGTAGAACATTCAAGTTTATTTACAATTACATTGTAATTGCAATCTATTATATTTTATAAATAAAATGCATGACTGTACCTTCAATCTGGATATCTATACCATAATTAATGAATAACAGAAGTAATCTTGCAAATTTTATCCATAAGCACATGTTAAATCTATTTATATCTTCTTCCTGTCATTTAGGCGGGAAAATAGGGAGACTTAGTTGTTGACATTGAATTTGGTTACTTATAGATCTATAGACCAAAAATAAATTTATAGATTTAGGAATTCTTTTTAAATGGTTCATAACAAATAAAGATTTAGATTTTAGGGCAGTATTAAGTCTGTATCTATGTTTGATTATCACCAAAGACAAGAAAGGTTAATATTTACATGAAATCTATGGCAAAATGTTCTAAAATTTATGAAAAATTTCTTTTTATTAAAATCTAAGATAGAAACTGGTTCAAATAATAAAACAATATTTGCAATTGTTCTTGTTAATTTTATATCTTCTTATGACAGGAATCCTTTCACATACAACAACTTTTTTTCTAGAAACTAGATAGCTTTTTAAATTAAACATTTTTGTTCTCTTTTGAATGATATTTTAATTTTATTGATTTTGGATTTTATAAAAGATTTAATTACTTTAAATTCAGATGAATATTTTATTATGAATCATAATTTTTTTTTTTTTAAATATTAAAGTATACAAACTGTTTTTTTATTTACTTCTTTTTTACCAATAATTTTCTGAATCAATGTCTACATAACACAGTACCACAGTGTTAAAACAAAACAAGAGACATAAAAACTACAGTAACTAGAGCTAAGCGACACGACGCGACACATCTGATTGCATGAAATATTTCACAAAGAAGTCCACACGCGTTACCCTGGTGCTATCCAAAAATCCTGGGGAGAACACTGATTAATATAATATGATTTTTGAAATTGGCATCATGTATTTTTATTCTGGCCTACCTCTTTAGACAATCTTGTAAACAGATCACCACCTCTTAAAAATTCCAAAATTAGATACAACTTTCCTTCTGTCTGAAATGCTGCAATAAATAATAGAAGAACAAATGACAACTGGACCCCTTCTTAATTCAAACATACTTAAAGTATAAGTATAAGTGTACAATTTTTTCATTTATATCACAATGAATAAATACTGAGTTAGATTGCAAACAATTAAAATATACATATATAAATGTTGTAGTGTGTGTGTAATAACTTTTTTTTTACATGGGTTCATGAAATGGCACTTTCAGGTTGAAAATAAAGCATGCTGGACATGTGTCCAACCAAACACAAAATACTAAGTGTAGAAAAATAGTCACAATCTTACCATAGTGCAGTCTGACTACAAATGGATGATTAATGTCAGCTAGTATATCACGTTCCATCTTTGTTCTTTGGCGATCACGAACTGAAAACAAAAATTAATGTTCTGTACTTTCAATAAGGTTTCTCTGAATTGAATCTCAGAAGTTATCGATGAACATATCAATTGCAATAAAATATAAAAGTAACTGAATTGATCAGATTCTTTTTTGATTTATGTATTAGTATTACCAGACACTTTGGCTTCCCTTACAAGCAGAAGTGACAGCCATGAAAACAAGACATTGAAAGAAGTGTTTAGCCCAATCATACAACAAAAATAAACAATGTGCACTTTAATCAATCCTAAATGTAGGTTGCATCGAGTGAACCAACACCTTCTAACGGTACAGGCTGGTAGAGAGTAATCAGGATGGATACCCAGAGGTATGCTGCGGTTGTCTTTAAACCTCAGGAAAATAATGCTACACAAAGACAACAACATCGTAGATTACTGCAAGGAAAATCTTTATTATGGTCTACATGTTTTGCCACTTACGGTGGCGTCTTCAGGACAATTTAAACATAGAAAACAAATAATTAAGTACATAAAATGCGGTGCATATGGGGTTACAAAGGTTAACAAGACATAACGTCACAATAATTGATTTGACGACGTTAAAATGACAGTGAAAGTAAAAGTTAATAATGCATTGTCAGTGTCTTTTCCAAATTGGACAACACCTCACAGGACATTCCGTACCATTCCAAAAGGCTTCACTCGGAAAGAGGTACTACTTCCAATTGCGTCGGGAATGTTGTAAGATGTATGGTAGTTGCACATGTAGGGCATGGTGGAAGTTGTGGTGAATTTGTTACATTTTGCGGTTATGGTACACTATCCATGTTGCAAGTTTATTTCAACAATAATCGTGCGGTTTTGCGGTTCAGTACGTTTTGCGGTGGTCTTCTTTTGATCTTGAGTGGTAGTAATTCATTTGTTGACTTTCTAGAATAATTCGGCAATCTCAGAATGTAAATGTAGTTTAATTTAAAGGACATACAAAGGTATCCAAACTAATGGCTGCCAATAGAAGACAAAATTTAGCCAGACTATTGATTTTTATTGTATGTATCTCAACAGAGACCAAAACTGTCTCCAAAAAACTGTAATATAATAGGCAAAAAAAATTTCAAGGTTTTAAAGCTGAGTGTTGACTGATATGGCCAAATAAAAGTATAAGTGTGGTTCCAGTTAACCAACTGCCCTTATTCTTAACCCCTTGACCCCCAGAACTTTTTTTTCAATTTCTGTAAAATAAAATTTGAACGATCCCATTTTGAGGAATGTGAATATCAATAATTAAATTCACAGACTTCTGTCATCTGAATTACATTAGAAGTATCAACTAAGGCTAAAAATGCAACAAAATTAACTAAAAACGTAACATATCTGTTTATTTTACAACAAAAAATGGCCAACTTCCGGTAGGAGCGTGTATAATACCGGAATCAGACTCTGTGAACACACCAATTTTTTTTGGATTTTGACAATCCCCCCCCAAAAAATTGCCTACCTACCATCCCTTTTTTTCAGGATGTAACAGGAACCACACATATATTTTTATTTGGCCCAAGGGAAAAAGTCAGAGAAGCCCGAAATAAATAAACAAGATGGACAATGTCGAACCCTTATGATTCTTTCACAAATGTGATAATGGACTGACAGTGGAAACCCCATGGACTACCAATTTCTAAATTGTGAGACCTAATTTTTTATCCTTTTAGTCTGTCTGTATACTAGTCTACATAAAACAAGTTGTGCTGACTTAATACAAGCTATGCTTCTAAATAATTCTGTATAACACTTTAAATTTGAAAAGAAAAATATGACAGAAAATATACTCATTATCAAATCAAAATTTTAAATTAAAAAAAATGCATCATAAAATACCTTTTAGCGTTGCCTTTTTCAAAACCTTCATAGCATACAGCGTACCAGCATCAGCTCCTTTTATTTTTCTCACCAGGAAAACCTGTGTATAAAAAAATCAATGTTAAGCAGTAATGACAGACAGGGTTTAAGTATATGCCCCTCAACATTTTGTTGCAGGTGGAAGGGGCATAAAAATTGGAACCCTCAATTGAGAATGCTGCTGAAAATGAACAAAGATGCAATATTTTAAATATCTGCAAAAATACTCCCAATGAATACATAAACTGAGGTGCAAATCTTTAATTTATATACCAACATACATACATGACATACAAGAAATTGAAAGGATCCATGTTGAAAACTGAAGGACAAGTTGATTACACAAAATAGGTATCCTTTATTGAGAATGCTGCTTTAAAATGATTACTGTCACCAATTTGGAAATTTTCCAAAATTCACCAAATGTGTACTCAAAGTCAAGTGTACGTTTTAAAAGTACATGTATGCTAAGGATAATTTCATTAAATCTGGAATATCATCTAGCTTTGCAGGCAAAAAACTAAGTTAAAATTGAATTTTAATTGATACAAGAATTTATTTATTACACATGCAGTGAAATATATTGTGGCTATATCTGTATACATGGTATCTGACCATCTGCCAAAATATGTTGATTGGATATGTGAACCTTTGGTGAGAATTACCAATTATGTCTAACTTTTCATAAAAGGTTGAACAATGAGAAAATTGTGTGGAAAAATGCTAGAATACATAATTTTGATCATTGGAACAAGTAAACTCTATCAACAGTGTTCTCCCCAGGATTTTTGGATAGCACCAGGGTAACGCGTGTGGACTGCTTGGTGAAATGATTCATACAATCAGTTGTGTCGCGTCGCGCCGCGTCGCGTCGCTTCGCTATATTTCTAGTAACTGTAGTTTTTATGTCTCCTGTTTTGTTTTAATGCTGTGGTACTGTGTTATGTAGACATTGAAAATTATTGGTAAAAAAGAAGTAAATCAATAAAAAGTTTGACATGTATACTTTTAATATTTTTTAGAAATAAATAAAACATGATGCATTACAAAAAATTCATTTAAATTTAAAGTTATTAAATCTTTTATAAAATCAATGATCAATAAGAATAAAATATCATTCAAAAGAGAACAAAAATGTAAAAAACTTTCTTATTTCTAGAATGAAAGATGTTGTATTGTGAAAGGATTCCTGTCATAAGGAGCTATAAAATTAACAAGAATAAATATTGTATTATTATTTGAACCAGTATCTCTCTTAAATTTTAATAAAAAGAAATTTTTCATAAATTTCAAAGCATTTTGCCTTAGATTTCATGTAAATATTAACTTTTCTTGTCTTTAGTGATAATCAAACATAGATACAGACTTAATACTGCACTGAAATCTAAATCTTTTTTTATCATGATCCACTTAAAAAGAATTCCTAAATCAATAAATTTATCCTAGTTCTATAGATCTATAAGTAACCCTATTCAATGTCAACAACTAAGTCTCCCTATTTTCCCGCCTAAATGACAGGAAGTAGATATAAATAGATTTAACATGTGCTTATGGATAAAATTTGCAAATCACTTCTGTTATTCATTAATTATCATATGGGTATAGATATCCAGTTTGAAGGTACAGTCATGCATTTTCTTTATAAAATAGAATAGTTTGCAGTTAATTGTAAATAAATCTTGGGTATTCTATGTGAACTAACTGGGTCATGTGATCCGTCCCCTTTGAATTACTTGTTGACAGATACTATGATAGTTTGAAACCGGAATATCATGCAATATAAACTATGTCAAAATTAAAGATAATTTGGCCATGGTTTAATCAGAGACCTTTAATACTATTATATAAGTATTGAGAAGTGTATAATGGTCAATTATACGTAATGAGCCAACTTTATAATGTACAAAATGTGTATCGTCGTGTGTACAACTAACGGGTCAAAACGGTTTGTGTACAAAGTATTTGCCGACTTGTCAGGTGGTGAGTGAAGCCATAAAGTAGTTATCTACGATCTTAAAGTTATGATCTCTTAATTAAAACACAAAAGAATAATTTTACAAGTGTTAATTACATCGATTAAATCCAATCAACAAAGGTTAACCTCATAAAGGTAAATCGATCACGTGGTGTAAACAATCTGAACTGGTTTGAACTGGTCAAATTTCACCTGGAATTTTATACCGCACGGAAAAGATTTAACAAGTCGTTTAAAACTTTACCAATTTCGATTTTTTAACTAAAAATTTTAGCACCACGGAGAAATATAATACATCACAGTAAGAACGATACCACCACGGTAAAAAAATATACATCGCGGGCCCGCGGTCCTTTAAGGCCCTGGGGAGAACATCAAGACATACAGTGGCATTCTGCAGTAGATGTAATTCAACAAACTTATAAATAAACCAAACGTTTATCTATTTCAAACAAATCCTACACACACAAAAAATTGTTAGAATAATATACCTTTCCAAATGATCCTTGGCCAAGAACCTTGAGCAAATCAAATGTAGATGGATCAACCTTTTCTCCATCTTTTGTTAATTCAGTCAAACTGATATTTCTCATCTGTGGATCATTGTCATTCTGTGAAAATATACATATATCATATTTTACAAGAAATCGGTTTAGAAATAAAGCTTTACAACAAACATTTGAATATGAAACATCACCTTTAATAAAATTTTCTAAGTGAACTCATTTTGAGGTTTGAATTAACTTTTCACATTTTAATAGTAAAAAGAACATTATTGCAAAAATATCAAAACTAGATGTGAATTTGATTTGCAGTCAACATAGTTAACAGAACAAATTGTGGAAAATGGAACCAGTCTTACCTCATCTATCAGCATATCTTCTGTTGATCCTGTTTCCTATAACAGAAAAAAACAAATAAACTGAAACAATTGTTAATCAAATCTCAAAACACAATCCTGAGTGATTTAAAATAGTTATCTCTTGACCATTAAATGTAGTATGAATGGGTATTTCTAATGAAAATTGTTTATTACACCAAATTTGATTGGACGAAGCCATATATACAGATAAAATCTGAATGCTATGCACACTCATGACATTTGCATTAATTAAAAAAATCCTTTAAATGGAAACAACTAAGTAATTGCATAATAATAGGAATAACAATAGGTTGGGGACAACCTGCCAAATGGGGAACTATTCCCAAAATGAGTAACAATCCCTTATTTGAGAATCATTTCATAGTGCTCATAACAAAATTTTCTTAGCCGAGTCTAATTAAAATGGCACAAATTTAAAGAAAATGGAACAACTTCTTCCAAAGAACCATGTTTTTATTTTGAGTTTAAAAAAAGTTCGTAGCCTTGAATTGTAAATTTTTCGAAAGTTTTCATAAGCTTCTTCTCAGTTAATCAGTTAAGAACTATTCGTCTTTCAGAAAATTTGCCATTTCAAGTTTAAAATGTGTATTAAAAAAAAAAAGAAAAGTATCCCTCAATAGGGAACTATTCCCCATTTGGCAGGTTGTCCCCAACCTGATTAGTGAGGATGGGGATAATAGTGGGTTATACATACATGTATGTTTATTTCTTTTACAACTTTAAATTAAACAATGGAACATTAATGGATTGTCCATCATCTTTGATCTTTTAACAGGTTGTTCCCAGTCACCGAAATGGGTTATGTTAACCTGTTTTGCATTTTAGAATTTAGAAATTTACCTTGCAAATTTTGTTGGCATTTTTAAATATAGTGCATTGCAATTGAACAGCAATATTTTTGGTAAGCAACTTTTGGATACTTGAATATTTATTCAGTTGATGACCCTAAATAAGTTGCTTTTCAGAGATTGAGTTAAATTCAGTAACAAAAATGTTATTTCCTTTAATGTAAACAAATGCACTATTGAATATTTGTCAGTGGCGTAGCACTAGTGAAGCATTGTAAGCATGGGTTTACATATAAAAAGATATAATTTTATAAAACCTTTTTTTTTCAAAAATTTTACAATAATCGTTCAGCTTCTGCCCCCTGCTTACAATTTATTTTCCAGTGGATATGCCATCTTTTTTTCTAAAATTGAAAACTATTTTTTGCACTGTAAAATTATATCCCAATATAAATTTGGGCTATTTAAACATTTTATACCGTTCTGTAGAACCTGAGATCATCGCTGTTTTTTGTTGCTTTATCTTAATTTCTATGTTGATGTTTTTTGTCCCTTAAGATTTACCTGTTGGTCCAAGGTGAGTGGTCCCAACCTTAAGTTGTGGGGCATCTTGTTACTGGAAAGACAACACTACAAACTCTTGCCACAGATTTGTTGGAACTTTAATTGTTTTAATATGAGGCCAATAGAGGGATTTTACCAAAATATCATCAACTTATCTCTCTATAAATATGTTAATGCCTAAGGCCATTTATCAGACTGGTTTGGATATCATTTGGATGGCAACCGTTTGGTTTTTACGAGAAATAAAAAAGATGCGATATATAATTATAATAGTTGACTAACAACATCATTGTCCGCCACTTCCATGGGCTTCCATGGATCAGCGTTTACTGCCAGTGGCATGCTTGGGCTGTAAAGAGGAATTTTGATTAATACAATATCCCTTGTCAACTTTCTTCCATTAAAATGGCGGCTTCCGACACGAGATAGAGGCCACCCACACTTCCGGTATGCGGAGAAAGAAAAGTGACAGTTGGCGGGAAATTAAATATTCGGCAGTATGTTGTTAATTCTATCGTTTTACTTTTAAAGTTTGTATAACTCGACTTCTATTATTATCTGAAAATTAGAATTGTACAAAAAGTAAAATATGAGCAATATAGGATATTATTACAATATGATGTGTTTAAAGAGGTCGATTTTATAAAAATAGATATAGGAATCATAAGGGTAACCCCGAAGGGTAATAACAAGCTTATATCATGTAAATTACTTTTGGCTTCATTAAAGACTGTAATAATAACATAAATTTATTTGGCCGAAAACATAAATCTTTACATACATGTCATTACAATAATATAAAGAACAAATACCAATCACATATACAAATACTAATACTTATTCAGTTATAGCTAGGAAAATACATTTAATGGCGGGCCCCAAAAAATTAAATATCCGCCAAACAAGCCCGCCAAACAAAACCAAATAAGTTAACGGAGCGGTTAAACCCAAGAGATGGAACACTCTCTTGAAAGTTCAACTACAAGCAGGAAGAATAAACCACTTCTTCAGCTGCTAGATCTACTTAGGAGATGCTCACGGAAATTTGTAAGGGATAAATTTGTCCTGGTAAAATATGTCCGGGCGGACACATATTACTAGTATAAAAAGTCCATGGTTACAGAATTTACTAGTATTTTTAGTCCGATGTTTAGTAATTTATGTCCCCAGACTAATTTTCCTAGGAATTCAAGTCCATGTCATTAATATTCCTAGGTAAAAACGTCCATGTCCTTTTTTTTTTTATAGAAAAAATATTAATAAATCAAATCATTTGCATTTAATCAATATTGGAAATTTAAATATTAAGTTTTAATATTATTTAAGAGTTGTGTATTTATATTTTTAATAAAATTTATGTCCCCAGACTAATTTTCCTAGTAAATCATGTCCATGTCATTAATATTCCTAGGTAAAACGTCCATGCCCTTTATTTTAAAAGGTAAATATAAATGTTATTGTTTAAGAGTTGTGTATCAATTTTTTTAATATAATGTTTGTCCCCAGACTTATTTTCCTAGGAAATCATGTCCATGTCATTAATATTCCTAGGTAAAAACGTCCATGCCATTTATTTTAAAAGGAAAATTTTGATGAAACAAATTATTTACATGTTTACAATGGAAATTCTATTTTTAAGTTTTAATATTGTTTAAGAGTTGTGCATTAATATTTTAATAAAATTCATGTCCCCAGACTAATTTTTCTTAGGAAATCATGTCCATGTCATTAATATTCCTAGGTGAAGACGTCCATTCCCTTTATTTTGAAAGTTAAATTTAAATGTTATGTTTTGATATTGTTTTAGGGTTGTGTATTGATATTTTAATAAAATTTATGTCCCCAGACTAATTTTCCTAGGACATCATGTCCATGTCATTAACATGCCTAGGTTATAACGTCCGGCCATGTCATTTATTTTAATAGGAAAAATTAATGAAACTTTCCAATCTTAACTAAGAAAATATGTTGTTATTTTTATTTTCAATAATTTTTAAAATATGATAAAAATTACTAGAAAAACAAGTCTTAGGACAATTTTTCCTAGGAAAATAAGTGCCAGACATATTTTACTAGCTATGGACTTATTTTCCTAGGAAAATTTGTCCTGGGACTTAAATTCCTAGTAAAATAATGGTCATGGACCTGATTAACTAGGAAAAAAATTCTGGCGGACAAATTTTACTACCGGACCAAATTTACTGTTATAAAATCACTCCTAAAAGTAGAGTACCTTAAAGAGACATACATTAATGAATCCAAAGGATGAAACACTCCCTTGAAAATTCAAAAACCAAAGGAATGAAACACTTCCTTTAGGCTAGCCTATAAAAACTAAATAATAATTACCACATACATAAAGACAAAATACACAATACTAAGTTATTTACATATGATTAATAGCATGCTGAAAACACTTGCGCAATTCTTTATTTTTTTATTTTTTTTTAATAATATAAATTTTGCTAATAGGGTAATTTCACTTCTACGAACCAAGAACTAACACCAGAGACAAGAAAATAAAAGAAAATAAATCATGAAAAAGGTGCTACGTATAAAGATCGAATAAAGAACAAACAAGTAGCGAATAAGTAACAGGGTATCAATCGAGCGCAGTAACTGGTACATACGCGCAAACAGGGTAATTTTATCTCCTCGAACCGATATCTTACAACAGAATCAAGAAAGAAAAGGAAAGGAAAGTAAGCAATAAAAGGGGGCAACATATAAAAAGCGAATAAGGAATAAGTAACGAACAGGTAACGAATAATTAAGGAATAAGGAACAAGTAACGAATTGGTAACGAATAAGGAATAAGTAACGAAGAGGTAACGAATAATTAATGAGTAACGAATAACGAATAAAAAATAAGTAACGAATAAGGAATAAGGAATAAATAACCAACTTGACGACCCTGTATTGTAAATGTTTATACCAGCAGTTTTGTGTTTGGGAATATGTTCGCCAGTAATAACCCTGATGTATTTACTACCAGAACAAGTATTGGTACCGTAAAGTAAGACTGTGTAAACGTTATTATGGGTATATCTGCTAAATGTTTGTTTGACTATAACTGGCGTGTCTGTTTTATAATTTTTTTTAGCGTCAAGTAAATTTTAATAAACCTACTAATCATCCAAGAACAAAAGAAAATTAAACACACCAATTCTTAACTAAACTTGCATGCACAACAGTTTGATTCTTTTTTGTACATTAAATCATTCATTGTGATGCCAATCTCTTGGTCTTATGTACCGATCTACACATCGGTATATATAACGCTTTTGATTCGCCTTAAACAGAGAAGAGACATATACATAATATATGTCTCTGCCTTGAATATCCTATTTGTGTTATATTTAAAAAAGATTTGATGTAACATTTAATATTTTATGTGTCAGTGTTTTTCAATATTTCAGACCATCAAAAACACAAAAGCAAGAGGACGAATAACAACGAAGACATCGAAAAGCACAAACATTTTAACTTTGACCGTATATATGTCGTCAACGGAAAACTTAAATACAAATTCTTTCCAACGCCTCGGTGGTCTCTTGGTGGCGTGTTCGCCTCGAGTGCGGGAGGTCGTTGGTTTGAACCCCGGCCGGGTCAAATCAAAGACTTTTAAATTGGTATTTGATGCTTCTCCGCTAAGCATGCGGCATTAAGGAGTAAGAGCAAAGACTGTTCGGATCGGAATCAGAAAAATGATGTGTCCGGGTAAGGTGTTATGTCTTCCTGTGGACTGTTATCTTGTGAACTAGCACTCAAAAAATCTGGCTCAGCGTGTCAGTCTAGTACAAAGCAGGGTGAAAATTCATATAACATTAACATGTTCTCGTCCTGAATATGCATATAAGTTTGCCGCTGGACGTTAAGCAGCATTCCATCATCATCATCAAATTCTATGTCCACAACGGGGTGTGGACACATTATCTGTTTTTCTGTCATATTGGAAAATTAGACACTAGAGTTTCGTTTGTTTCAACAGGGACCCAATTTCATACGGAAACAAGTTGCAGGTAACAATACTTTGTTTGTTACCTGCATGTAAAATTTCAAATTATGTCTTTTTTTGTTTGTAGCATTAGCTACAGTAGGATATTTTTTACAGTCTTCATGTCATTGCCCCGTAAACATTGTTTTACATATTTTAACAAATTTATATGAAAAGAAAATGATTTATTGAACATAGCAATGATAAATTGAAAGCCCATTTTGATAATTATACATATTAAGAATACGTTTAGCTATTTATTGTGGTGGCACCGGCTTCCTGCATATTCAGTATGTAACCAGTGAGGTCCAGTGGCATTTTGAGGACAACATATTTCATGTGATACTTCAGACTTCAGACATCTGTCGCAAACTATAGATCCTTCCATATATATTCATGTCTAAACTGCACGCTAAACAGTTCCATTCCGCTTCATCCTTCTTCAGCGATATCTTGTTTTTGCAAGAGCTTCTTCTATATAACTGCACAAAATTTGCATCTATAGGAGCTGTTGAAGTTTATCATTAAAATCTTGAAAGGATATAAACTTTATACTGACCACAAATTGGACATCTTGAACATTCGTATCTATGCGGGTATCAAAAACGGCAGCTAACAATAAAAAGTTGTATTAGTTACCTGCAATTTCCGTATGAAATGTCCTTAGCCGGAAATACATTTCGGCAATTAGTCTAGGAAGAAACAATAATTATTTCTGATTACGTTGTGCGGGAAATCGTAGCCAGTACCTACAAAATATGACAATTTTTGCACAAACGTTATTAGATAAAAAGCTCCGTGACCCATACTTTTATTATATTTTTGACATCAAGTTACCATGATATACATTATATTTTGATAAAGTATTAAAATGATCTATCGTTTTCAGTTTAGACACTCATCTTCCATAAAAGAAATGTATCTCATACACGTTACAGCATGGAGAATGAGATTACTATAACACTTATGTTTTAGTAGTCTCAGATGGAGAGCACAAATTATTATGGACATGCTCGTGCCAGTACGCGATTTTACATTTCTGATTTTGGTTCTTGCTTATACCGGTATTTCACTCTCTAAATGGGAGATAAATAAATTACTACTTCCTGTCATTTTTTCTCGCGTTTTTTTTGGGGTTGCACTTAATTTTAGTGATTGACCATCAAATTATACTTCAAGATGTCTTCGATGAGAAATCTAAACAAAGCGAGAGCTCGCTCTCATAAAGAAAGAAGTCAGGTATGACTATGATGTCCTTAACGTTTCACTGAACCGAAGGGAAATTATCAGGTCAGGAATAACCACCAATTGGTGGATTATACCTCAATTGACGTATAATCCACCAATTGACATATAATGGTATAGACCAATTGAAGTATAATTCTTTGTATTTCAAAGCAAACTATACAACTAAAATGGAGCATTGTTTTCTTATAACCATATTATGGTATGAAAACATGTCAAACATTCCTAGTTAAGTATAGTGACATAACATATTGCATTTAATCAATAATTGTATTTGCAGTTTCTTCTATTGTTATCTTGTCAATTCTTGATTGGTAAATTTTCCACTAATCACCGGTCAATGGACATCAATACTGTCTTCAGTCATGTGATTATGAGTACAACTCACCAGGTGAATGGAGCTCTTTGTTAATACTTGACTTTCATTATTAAAAGTCAATCATGGTCAATAGTACAGATGTTTTAACAAAAGAATTGTTATACACATGCATTCTCAAGAGATGCAGCAGGCTTTGACAAAACTGAAACTTTAGGAGGATTCAATAATGGGTATAAAATAGGTTGCAAGTTGCAAAATGATGCTCCTATCCCAGACTAGCATTTTATTACAAAAAACTTGCATTATACGTCAATTGGTCTATACCAATACATGTCAATTGGTGGATTATACGTCAATTGAGGTATAGTCCACCAATTGGTGGTTATTCCTGACCTGATTATTTATGGTGTCCACGTCACTATCATTAACAGGTTGAGCTCAAGTTGTCTCAAGTCAGGAAAAGTGGGGTATTCCCTGTTTTCAGGGTACACCCCAGTTTTCTGGTGTTAAAAAACATTAGTATACTGGGACTTCTTTTTTCCTATTCAAGAAGAGAGGGACGAAAGATACCAGAGGGACAGTCAAACTCATAGTCATAGATCGAAAACAAACTGACAACGCCATGGCCAAAAATAAAAAGACAAACAGACAAATAATAGTACAGATGACACAACATAGAAAACTAAAGACTAAGCAACACGAACCCCACCAAAAACTGGGGGTGATCTCAGGTGCTCCGGAAGGGTAAGCAGATCCTGCTCCACATGTGGCACCCGTCGTGTTGCTTATGTTATTACAAATCCGGTAAATAGTCTAATTCGGTACAATTTACGGTATGAAATCTACAAAAGCGCACATTCTACATGTGATAACAATGCTTTATGATAGCAAGTGTTTTTATTAGTTCTAAAATCAAGCTAATTTCAAGTTTAATTGATGCTCAACTCACAACAAAACAATTCCTTTGTTCACCAATTCACACCTTGATCATCAATTATGAGATGATAAAAAGATAAGTTAATCACTTGGGCATTTAAATTCAATGAATAGAAATTTTCAATAGAAGTGAATATAATTCAGTTATGGTCAGTTACACCTGGAGCATGCAACTTGGTCAATTGACTCCTAAACAAAAGATTTGTATGTTTTTGAGTTTTAGAAAAAACAAGGCTTCACTTATTCATGTTTTGTTGTTCCTGAAATACTTTAAGTATTTACAAATACTACTGATGCAGTTAAAATGTGCGCTTTTGTAGATTTCATGCTTTAAATTGAAATAGAAAAAGGAAGTCCCTGTAAACTGGTTTTTTTTAACACCAGAAAACTGGGGTGTTCCCTGAAAACAGGGAATACCCCATGTTTCCTGACTTGTACCCAACCTGATTAAATTTATTTGAGGTAGCACTCCACAGTTAGGTGTGTAGTTTCACATTTTGGCCCCTGTGGATTTTTCAAATATGATAGCTAGTGTAGAATAAAATTCATTTTTGGATAGCTGAAGATTAAAATAGCCTTCATAGCGGGTTTATAGGAACATCAAGATTATGTAATGTATGTAATATGGGCTGTTTTCTGTATGACAGTCTGTATTTTCATATACATACCAAATATTGGTCCGGCAATTATTGTAATGTTTTTTTTCCAACTTTTTGTCGCACGAACTTTGCAATTAAATTTTACGAAAAAATGAGGCGAAAACACCCATTTTTTATTTGGTCATTTGGTAGATTTATATCAACAGTTTCTGAAAGGCATTGAAATTCTAGTTTGAACCAAATTTTGGGGGAATATGTGACATTTTTACCCCCCTTTTTGCAATATTTTATGGTAAATAAATGCAGAATGTTGCCATGGATACACAAAAAAGGAATTATATTTCACCATTTAACTTTTAAAAATCAAATCTATGGAAGATACTGATTACATACATATGCACATGTATAACACAAACAGTTAGGTTAATGTATTAGAAAGCCAGGAATAGAAGATGATAAAACATTTTGTGGTTCAATTTTAATGTTTTTTTCTAACTGTGGAGTGCTACCTGAGGCAGATGTTACCTGTGAAAAAGGACGTAGTCCGTTTAAATTATTGTTTTAAAACTGACTTTTACAAAATTTAAATTCCGGTAAAATGCACTAAGGGATCAATTATTTTTACAGTTGACAAACCATGACATTAAAAAAATCAAAAAAAATCACTATCATTTAAAAACAATCCTTAAATTTTTTAGGTACCCTAGGCTCCAAAAAGGGCTTAGTAATTTATAACCCTTTACCAAATTGCAAAAAAAAAAAATGAATTTGCAGCATGTTTTTAACTTTTGTTGAAAAAGTAAGGAAAATAAGGAAATGTTTCCGATGTTGGTCCTGTTGTTAATGTTAGGTACATTGTACTTTAGTTATGATGTCATTTGCAATGTAAACATTGATACTTCATCTTTAAGCAATGTTTTGTTCACCTTAAAATACTATTAAAATAAAAATCAAGTAATGTTTACCTAAGATTAAAAACGACAACGATACATGTACAAAGTCAGCTTGTTATAATTTAACCTTGGTGTACCAGGCCTATCAGATTTCTTATTAGAATATACAAGAAACAGCCAGGTTGATCAGGGAAGTTTCCCCTGAGAACTCATTTTGTTTGATATAAAATCGTATGTTGAATTAGCACTATAGATATAGACTCAATTCAAAATGATTCAGAATTTAATGTCATTATTTACAATGTAACTGTCAATATTCTTTTGGTAATCCGATACAACAAATTAGCGGGAAATCATGTGATGCCCCTCCCTTATAATATATGCAAAATCCTGTGACAAACAATACTGGAAGAGAGATTTATGATAAACTTGATAAATGAATTCAGTTATATTGAAAATTAATGACCAATTTTAAACTTGAATTTATTTCATCATTGTTCATCCATGTATACATTTTGTATATCATTCAGTCAAACTTACACACCTGTTTATAATATAAAGATAATTTTCCTTACCATTTTCAAAACAGGGTTGGTAAAACCACAGGTTTTATGAGTATTGCCCAGCCCAATGTAAAATACTTGGAAAATCTGGGTTTGACTGGATAATATTGAACAGAATCTTTAAGAGTAGTCAGTGCTCAATTACAAATGCAACACATAAAAGATATATGTAAAAATAATATTTTAATTCATTAGTCTCACTAATTCATGTAATTAGAGACCAGAAGAATTTTAGCGTCAAGAAGCAACAAGATGAAAAAAAATTCTGAGAAGAAGAAAAAATTAGCGTCAAGAAAGTTTAAATACTACCAAAACAATAAATTAATAGAAAAGGTTAAAGGGGCACTAGCTACAAGATATATAAAAAATTTAAAATATGATTTTTTTTGTTCAATCATTAATGAAAGTAAAATAATGAAATAATAATTCGCTTTTAGCAGCAAATATGGTTCAATTTTGTCAAAATAAGCTAAGAAACATCGATGATGAATTATTCACTTGCAAGTGAAAAATTCGACCTCATTGAATCCGTATTCATGTGAACTTCAATTTAACCCCTTAGCTAGAGATGGATAACGCTTAAATTGTGCGTGATCAGTTATTTAAAGGAAAAGAATGTCAATATTGAAAGTGAAACAAAGGTAAATAATTTGATTGACGGATTTGATCCACAAAAATTCATTCTTTTACAGGTAAAAACGATGATTAACATATATTTTTAATCTATAATATGAAATTAAATAGACCTAGAAAAATCCAATTGCACGAGTAGCTTAATCTATTTATATCTATATTTATGTGTATATCCCTTATATGGCCATCGGAGGTTTTCTGAGGTCAACTCGATAGTGAATTAGATGGCGTCTAGACTAAAATACTCACGAAACGAAGCTACATATTTTCAATGTCCATGTCCTGTAAATTGTTTATTTCAGACTTTCAATAGTTTGGATAAATGTTTTACATTGTTATAAATCAAATATGAGAATTTGAGTCGAATCGGTGAACATGAATTGGACAGCTAGTGCCCCTTTAATACAGCTGATTTTTTTGTTGTCTAATAAAGTTTCAAATTTTATTTCATTTAGTACATGTAGTAGCACTACAGAATTGTAATGAATTTTTAGTGAAAAAAATATTACATTATTGTAAAGTATGTATCAATCTGAACATTATCATGTCACAACATTTGTTGATTGGTACATGTAATTAAATTATGTGAATAAAAGCACATGGCAATCACTCTAAATATAAGATCATACATGAGAAGTTATCCTATAATTATCTGTCTATACTAGGTGTCTATAAAGAATGAGAAAAATGGCTAACAAAATTAAAGAATAAAGAAATGACCCCCCCCCCCCCCCCCTCCACACAAATCTAAACATCCAAACCATATGATTTTTATACGCCCGTTTACGGGACGTATTATGGTATACCGTTGTCCGTCTGTCCGTCCGTCTGTCTGTCGTCAACATGTCGGACATTAACTCAAAAACGCTTTAACCAATTTGCATAAAACTTTGATGAATTGTTTATATCTATTGACGTGAGCTCCTTGTCATTTTTTATAAATTTTAGATTTTACGTTTCCGATTTATGGGTTTTTATCAATTAAAAAAAGGGGGATTTTCCAGTTTTTGGACAATAACTCAAGAATGCTTTCACCAACTTGCAAGAAATTGTGGTGAATTGTTTATATCTATTGACATGAGCTCCCTTTCATTTTTTATATATTTTAGATTTTACGTTTCTGAGTTACAGGGTTTTATTCATAAAAAAAGGGTTTTCGGACAAAAAAAAAAAATGCTTTCAGCAGTTCTTATGAAATTTGGTGAATTGTTTATATCTATTGATGTAAGCTCTGTTTAGAATTTTATAAATTTTTCATTTATCATTTCTGAGTTATGGGGTTTTAATCATTAAAAAAGGGGGGATTTCCAGTTTTCGGACAATAACTTCAGCAGTTCTTATGAAACTTTGGTGAATTGTTTATATCTATTGATGTAAGCTCTGTTAAGAATTTTATAAATTTTTCATTTATTATTTCTGAGTTATGGGGTTTTATTCATTAAAAAAGGGGTGATTTTCCAGTTTTCGGACAATATTAAATTTATGAAAATGTAAAGGGAGCTTACATCAATAGATATAAATAATTCACCAAAGTTTCATGAGAATTGCTGACAGCATTTTTGAGTTATTCTTATTCAATAACTCAAAAATGCTGTCAGCAATTCTCATGAAACTTTGGTGAATTATTTATATCTATTGATGTAAGCTCCCTTTACATTTTCATAAATTTCTAATATGACATTGAGAATTGATTGAACTTTATTTGTTTATAGTCTGACAACAGATTTACTAAGTATTGCGCAACAGCACAGTGTATTGCACAACAGCAAGAAATATTTAATTGAATATAAATTCAATTCATATAACCAATTTCAAGTTCTTTGACTACATTTATTCAGAAACCTAAATATGTCAAATATTTAATTACAATCCAAATTCAGACCTGTATCAAGCTTGAATATTGTGTCCATTTTTGCCCCAACTGTTAAGGGTTGGACCTCTGCGAAGTAGTTTATTTACTAAAGTAGTGAAAATACACTTATAAAACACACCTTTTAATGCATGTTTCAATATAATATCTTGTTTTTTCAGCCTCAACATAGGGAACATCTGGGATCCCTTGAAAAGAAAAAGGATTACAAGTTGAGAGCAGAGTAAGTTGTGTTGTTCTATACCATATACATGATATATACATTGTATGTTGTGTACAAGATGTAAGTTTGTACAAATTATAATTTGTACAGGGTTTTTGTACAAGTTATAAGTTTTTTGACACATACCTTTTTGCACCAGGTGATAAAAGTTTATCTTCTAAAATTTATCAGCTTAATGTCTTAAATTCAAAATTATATACTTCAACCTAACATTTAGTGCTATTCTCCTTGTCCTAAAACTGGAAATAAGGACACCCGAATGGTTTAAATTCTATTTTTATTTTTCTACTTATACAAAAATCATATCCATAAAAAGTCTTCTTGTGTTCATTTAATGTTTTTTGTGTCAATGCTCAGTATTAGACTGTATCATGTAGTCATAGAAATATGACAGAAATATGCAAAACAAAAGACTGTGTGCTTGTATCATCCATGTGTGTTAAGCAGTTCATAAAACACTGATAACTTGTACAAAAATTCTGTACAAATTATAATTTGTACAACATTACAATTTGTACACGACATATAGTGATATACAAACAGTATAGATAAACCATTGAAAATCATCAGTTGATACAAGTGACAGAGAATACCATTGTCATCATCAAAACTTCATTCTACAATGAGAAAGAATGAGTTTCTATCAAAATGTCTATAGTTATATAAAAATAAGATGTGGTATGATTGCCAATGAGACAACTCTCGCACTAGTATCATTACATATCAGTTTGACGACTATTTTGAGGCCCTGCCACCAAGGAAATGGTCCAGTGACTTTGAATTAATAAGCAATTTTCAATGTTAAGTTTTCTGATTAAGTTAGTTTGATAGGAACTATTTACAATAGACGATGATATTTTTTATAAAGTTACGTTACTGTCTGTACATCTCAGTTTGTCAACCATTTCGAGGCCCTACCCACTTGTTGGTCCAGCGACTTTGAATTAATTAGCAATGTTGCTGTCCTTCAGATTGTCTTTTTATGAATTTTTTGCCGACATGCAAGATATATCTCTGTGTCAACAGTTTATTATCTTTTTTGTAGTTTGTGCAAAACCTGTACATGCTATAGAAGATACTGAGAAACTAAACGAAAAAATTATCAGCAATACAAAATCAACAAAAAAGAGACTAAGTCATGAATTATATTCTAGTCTCAATGTTGGAGAGTATCTATAGTTGAAGTATATGATAATAATAATAGTTTTTTTCATATTTCAGAAACTATCAGAGAAAACAGAATACATTGAAGTCATTGAAGCGGAAAGCCCTTGATAGAAATCCAGATGAATTTTATTTTAAAATGGTCAAAACTCAGAAAGTGGTAAATTAATTTGAGTATGACTGGAAGTTATAAATGAAAAATAATGGTACATTTTAAATGAGATAAGCAGCAGTATTTGTTTGTTAGGAGCTAAGCCACAGGGTTAAAAGTTTCAATATATTAAGCATCATTGGAAAAACCAAAATCAACTAATTTTCTAAAGTGATTTATGTTCAGGGCATTCACAAGTACATGAATAAAAGGAACATGTCAAACTTGGACATATTCTAATAAGAATATCAACAATGTTAGAAAATTGAAAAAAGAAGTCACCACAAGGTTTACTAGAAATCACAGAAAAAGTATCTGCTAAAATATGCTGGTTTACAGTATCAGTTTATTTAAACAGTTGAAAATATGGTGAAGACCCTGCTTTGACCTATAATGGTTTACTTTTATAAATTGTGACTTAGATGGAGATTTGTCTCATTGGCACTCATACCACATCTTCTTATATCTATTAATCAAACATCATGTCAGATTTTCTATGTTATTTTTTTGTTAATTATAAGTTTGGTTTAGAAGATTTAATGGTAAAAATTCTGACCAGTTATCATTTGATTAAAGATAACTAATTATGTTATTAAGCAGGCTGTCTGACAAAAATCTGGTTACTGTAGATTCATTTATTTTCGTGGGTACCAATTTTCGTGGATTGAGGAAAACTTACATTTTCGTGGATATTTGATTTCGTGGTTTTGCCAAAGTCTGCATAGAAGACATTATAAAATTTGTTATTCGTTGAACATTTAATTTCGTGGTTCACCTGTAACAACGAAATCCATGAAAATTGGTATCCCACGAATAATAATGAATCCACAGTATTGATTTTGGGTTGTACAACTGGCGGGCAGGGATCTGGCTGCTTCACTTGTTTATTGCAATAACTTATCAACTGTTCAAACTATGCTTATCAAATTTTAATATTTTGTTACTGCTGATGAAATTGAGGTTAGGTATGATGTTGATGATTTCTACTTTTGTCGATCAGGAGTTGTGGCCCTTCATTGCTTAAACATTGACCCTAATAGATAGAATAAAACCTGCTTTGCTGTAATTTTTTACAGCCTTTGGTAAATTTTCATTGTGCAGTTGAAGTATAAACATAAATATTCATGGGCTGTTTTAAAAATATACTTTGTTTCAGTCAAGCGCTTTGTTTATAACGTTACCCGGTATATGCAAAATTTATAACAGTACTAGATACTTTAACTTGTGTTGTTTAAAACATGTTATGAGTAATGGTTCTTCTCATACTGCCTATTCTGTGAAGAAAATCTAATTAAGAGTACATATTTTAACTGGTACAAAGAAATTCACTGCAGCAATATACCAAATTCACCTGCATATTGGATATACATTTCCCAACTCATTCCATATTCAAGAGCTTGCAGCTGCTACTCAGACTTAATAAAACGTCACCAGTGTCTGAGCAGAAAGTTGATGAACCAGGGTTATGGCAAAGAACGTCTCATCCTTTTTATGCCCCTGCCGTAGCAGAGGGGGCATTAAGTTTTACCCTTGTCCGTCCATACGTCCGTCCCTTCGTCCCAAAGTTATGCCCCTTCACAAATTGGAAAATTGCTGAATTTTTCTTTTCCGTTCTCTTAAGTTAGCCTCAACCAAATGTTATGAAACTTATACACAATACTTATTACTACAAAATACAGATCAAATTTGAATTTTGGTGGTGTCACTTTTACTGTTCGAGAGTTGTGCCCCTTTACAAAGGGAAAAATTGCTGAATTTTTCGTTTCCGTTCTCTAACTTTAGTTTGCCTCAACCAAATGTTATGAAACTTATACACGTTACTTATTACCACAAAACTCAGATCAAGTACAATTTTGGGTAGAGTCACTTTTACCATTCTTCAGTTATGTCCCTGTATAACTTTATATGATATGCAAGCGGGGGCATCATCTGTGTCCCATGGACCCATCCCCTATTTATTTTTAAAAAAGTTCATCGGAAGATCTCAAGACCTTGTTGATAAATATTTCATTTCAACTTCACAAATAATACATGATGGTCTATATTTATACATCCCGCCATTGTGTTATTGTGTTATGGTCCTATTTTGTATTCTTGTCTTTCATTTTGCTTATTTGCTTTGACTATATACATGTAGTGTCTACCTGCCATTTTGTTTTTCTTTGTTGATATAGTTATTTGTTTTTATAGTGATTAAGATTATTACACAATGTTGACTGCTGTACCCCAATTTTTGACATTTTTACTTTTTATGCCTGTTTGTTTTGTTCACACATTGTTGCCAATATAATGGAATTCAATGCTACCGTCATACAAGTGAGAGGTTAAGCCATTTATAAAACCGGGTTTGATCCATCATTTTCTATATAAGGAAATGCCTGTACGAAGCCAGGAATATGACAAATGTTTTCCATTCGTTTGATGTGTTTGTGCTTTTGATTTTGCCATTTGATAAAGGACTTTCCAGTTTTATACGACCGCAAAAATGTTTTGCGTCGTATAATGCTATGGTGTCGATGTCGTTGTTGGTGTCGTCAGAAGACACATTTGGTAACCGGACAATAACTTTAGTTTAAGTGAATGGATCTCTAAGAAATTTTACCAGAAGGTTCAATACTACAAAAGGAAGGCTGGGGTTTATTTTGGGGGTTATGGTACCATCAGTTTAGGAATTTGGGGCCAAAAACAAGCATTTTTGTAGTTTCCGGACAATAAGCTGTGTGCAATAGCAAGAAATCTTCAATTGCACAGTATTGCGCAATAGCAAGAAATCTTCAATTATACAGTATTGCGCAATAGCAAGAAATCTTCAATTGGCCAGTATTGTGCAATAGCACAGTATTGCGCAACAACACAGTATTGCGCAATAGCAAGAAATCTTCAATTGCACAGTATTGCGCAATAGCACAGTATTGCACAATAGCAAGAAATCTTAAATTGCACAGTATTGCGCTATAGCAAGAAATCTTCAATTGAAAATAAATACAAATCTTTTAACCAATTTCAATGGGATTAATTTAAAGTCTTTAATTTTTGGGGGTTCTAACCTTGTATTACTGTTTTCGATATTGGGCCCCATTTTTAAATTGGTCTACATTGAGGTCAAAAGGGTCCAAAATTAAACTTTGTTTGATTTCATCAAAAAATGAATTATTGCGGCTGTATGATATGCTGAATCTTATTGTGCATTTAGATTTTTTATTTTGGGCCCTGTTTTCAAATTAGTCCATATTAAGGTTTGAAGGGTCTAAAATTAAACTTTGTTTGATTTCAACTAAAATTAAATTTTTGGTGTTTTTTTTTATACACTGAATCTAACCATGTTGTTAGATTTTGGATATCAGACCATTCTAGGTAAATTAAATGTCCCATTTCAAATTTTTAAGATCTTTGACCACATTTATTTTGTGTCAGAAACCTATATTATGTCAAAAACTTGATCACAATCCAAATTCAGACAGTATCAAGCTTGAATATTGTGTCCAAACTTGCCCAAACTGTTCAGGGTTAGACCTCTGCAGTCGTATCTGGCTGCGCTCAGCGAAGCATTTTATTCAATTTTCTTGGAGTTCAGTATTTTTATTATTTTACTTTTCCACATAATATATAATTCATATGAACACAGGTTAAAGTAGAAATAATAGGTAGATTTTGAAACGAATTTGAATTCTGAACAAAATGTCCATTATTGATGGTGCGAAAGGGTTTTCCTGAAAAGAGAATAATAATCAATTGATTTTTTCCAGAAAAATACTGCTCATCTTAGCATATAGTCCTTATTTTTAAACAGAACAGATCCATGTAGTCATCCAATATCTAGAATATTTGTTAGCGGTTATTCACTGTTAAGAAGTTTGTATGGTTATATGCTTTATTTTAAATGTTTTCAAGGATGGAGTCCATGAAAAAAGAGAAAGCAGTGAACCTGTCCATACAGATGCTGAAATCAAACTAATGTATTCACAAGACCAAAGATATGTCACTATGAAAAGAACATCAGAATTAAAGGTGATTATTTTTATAGTATTAAGCCTTTTTACAAAAAACCTGAATAAGGGGGAATTTTCATTTACAGTTTGCGATAATTTTTCTTCATGTTTTCTGCATACATTCTTCTATGTTATTGTTTTTATTCATTGATACATGTATATATCTGAAATTGAAAAAGTGCATATTTTTTCTTCATAACTGCAAAAAGAGATAATATATTTCTTGATATGTCAATATTTGGCCCTGTCTCTTTAAAAAATTTCCATGGACAGATCTACATATTGATATTAAATTTTGTTTTTTAAATTCAGTCTCAATATAGCAGACTCTAAATGATATATAATTTGACATTTTTTACCCATATTAAATTCAGAAAGGAAGGCTATATTATGACAAGTTCATTCATTTACTTCAAAATAATTCATTTGTGAACAATTTTCTCTCATGGTGTCAATTCTTAACAGATTACCAAGTTGCTTAAAACTTACAGCTATTAAGTTCACAATATCTGACAGAACTTAAAACTCAGGAATATTGATCTAAGCTGTTTCACTAGCACAATTTTAAATTAACAGGTAACAATTTAACAAAATTTGGGTTAAAATTCAAACTATCATTTGCAAGAAAATAAGGGAACAGTTGAATTGCTATTGCTTTAAATGAATCTGCCTTGTAAGTATCTACGACATAACATGATTTCTTAGAAAAAAACATGTTTAAATCTTCAAACTTGCATATCATTAGTGTTAGCATAAATCAATACTGTAAATTCAGAAATTAATGCGAGGTTTTTATTAATGCCACCGAAAGAGTATCGCATTAATAAGAACTCGCATTCTTATATCTGATACATATAACTGTATGTACATTTTTCTGAAATCGCAATAATAAATCTCGCATTTTAATCCTTTCTACAAAATTCGCAATAATAAATACACGCAATAATTTCTGAATTTACAGTAACTATAAACTCAAATATTTCTTGCATTATAGATAAAAAAAAAATGCACAGTTTTCTTTATCATTAATATTGTTAATTGGATATAATAAGTATTATTACTAACACATACATTATTTAATTATTTTACTTTCTCCTGACTTACAGAAAATAGAGAAATTAAAAAGTTCCTTGCATCTCCTTGACAGTGATGAGAAACCCAAAAATAAACATATTGTTTTCGTTGATTCTAAAAAAGAAGGTAAGTTAAAAATTGCAACCTAAATTTCTCAAATTTTTTTTAACTTTCATAGTTCTGGTAAATTCTTTTGAAATTTTGTTATGTCTTATGTATTTTTAAATTGTTTATCAATCATTTCTACCAAAACAGTTCATATAAAACAACCAGAAAGTAGGGGATGGACAGGGGTAAGGAAACATGAGAATGAGGGGACTTGAAGCGGGAGTCAGGGGAGAGGAAAGTGGGAGTCCGGGGGAAGAGGGGGAATAAAAAGAGGGATATGCTGGAAAATGTTTTTGACTGATTTTCATCAGGGAGTAAGAGGGGAAGGAAGTAGGAGTTTGGGATAGGGAATGGGAAATTTGGAACCCCCTGTCCACTCTCTCAGAAAGACCTTTTCTTTCACAATTTCTAAATTTTCAAAAGCTTAACAAAGAGATTTGGCAGTTTTTCTGTAATTTTGATGTACATATATATAATGTTTTTTCTATTGAAAAAGACCACATTAATGAAAATGTTATTTTGAATTTCAGTAATGTATATACATCAACAATTGTTAGATTTAATTGTGACTGTTTATGATCGTCCATTTGATGTTTTCGTTATTAAGTATTAATTTTGTCATTGCCCATTTTAACAGAAATAGAAAGTGGCAATCAAATTTTTAGGACACATAACTACAATAAATTTCTCATCTTTCCAGCAAAAGAATTTGATGCTGCAAAGTATTTTAATACACATCCATCGTTAGTGAACAGGACCTACAACAGACCAACAACAGAGATGTTAAAGAAAGGTTTCCATAACGACAATATGGATGAAGCAACTTTACAGGTTTGACTTTAAATGCAATAAGGAGAGATATAACAAGGGCTGTTACTCTGAAAAAAAACAACTAAGGGATCCCTGGTAGCTGAGCTATTAAGGTCAAGCTGTACAGGGGACCTCAGTGGCAGAGTGTTCTAAGAAGTTCATCTACTAGAGCCTGTCAACACTGAGGATGTGAATTCGAACCTTATAAGTGGCAGGTGAATTTGACTCCAATCTTAATTGACTAGGATTGTCAGTTTTCCTGTCAAAGATGGGTGGTATTCTCCAGGCACTCTGGTTTCCTCGGCCAATAAAAAGTTTGTGATTCAAAAGTGCAATAATTTTGTTTTATACAACACACCCTTGTTGTTTCACTTCAAAAGGCGTGTTCAAAAGAGAAGAAAGTGTTGGGCTGTAAGAACAAAAATATTGTGTATTTTGCTGATCAATCTTTTTTATGTTTGCATATAATTATGTATTAATGACAAAATTTTGGAAGATCACAGGTCTATTTACTCTTCTATCTATTAATAATGCCTTGATGACAATTGTTTTATTATAGGAAATTGCTGATGAAAAGAAAAAGAAATATAAACAATTGAAAAAGCGGATAGAGAGAGAAAGGGAACTCCACATCATTTCACAAAAAATGGATGTAAAGAAACATTTATTAGTAAGTTCATGTGATAGAAAAAAGTAGTATGTTTATTACCATACAAATGAAAAAATGATGGAATATGATATTTTTGTACAAGTTTGTCTAACACAATGAATTTCTCTTTTGAATTCTAGATAAAGGCACTTAATGTGTTTTTTTTATTCACCTTGCATTGCTTTTTGCTTCCTAGATTTAATGTTTAGATATGGGTCAATATCCCTCAAACACAACTATAAATAGAAATAAAAAACCCTCTTGCAATGATATTTGACTTGATGCTTTTTATAGTAATTGACTGAGCAGAAGACAGACAATTAAGATGTAAAAAAAACTTTGGAGTTGTAAAATGTTTGTAAAGAACAGAATTTCCAGAGAATTTAACTGTGTGAAAATAGGGACTTTTTTCTTTCTGAAGCTGTATCACACAAGTTTATGATATGGACAGAGGAATGGAAAAAAATGCTACCATTGTCACCTACCAGAATTTAATTGTGCATAATGACCATTCTGCATGTCTTTGTATAATTTATATTACACCTCTTATCTATCTAAGATCAAATAATTGACTGAGGACGGATAAGACATGTAATGTAATTAATTTACCGTATCACTGCCTTTGTATGGGGATAATAAGAATTGCTGTTCTATCTTGTCTTTATTTCTGGTTTAATTACCAAAGCTGTACTTTTTGCTTATAAATCATAACACTTCTATGTAAATATAAATACTTTATGAGAAAGGTAAAAATCTAAAACAAAGGATACTTTGTCAGTAAAGACATTTTGAGAAGTCTTGAACATTTGTGTTCCAAGTTTGACCTACATTTTGGGCATCAGTGATTCTACTCCAGATTGTTATCAAATGAAGGGAAATGCTTTCTTAGTTGACACTATTTAAATAGTTGAGGGTGTGTGTATCACCTGATATTGGTCATGTTAATGTATAATCATCTCAAGTTTTTGGAAAGATTGGAATTCTTCCAATTCTTTCCTAACGCACCAGCCTCCCAAACAGAAAGTAGACATATTTGTTACTAAATCAGTAACTAAATCTACACACTGGCATATAGTTCCCAATTGTTCTCATGTCTGTGTACATATGCAGAAATGAACTGTAAAAAAATTGTTTACATCTTAATTAACAGCATTTTTTCAAGAATAATTGTATTTACTTTTTTCAATTTACTTGCTAGTTTTGTCTTTTTGATTAAGTAAGAGTATTGATACAATATCAGTATGATTGACAACTGTCATGGTCAAAGAACAATTAAACACAAAGGGTGGAGCAATAATTGAAATTGTATACAGGTCCCTCCTCTTTAATGCCAATCATAATTGACCAAAATCCATAACTTGACATGACAGACCACTCAATACACAATAACTTGACCTCATTAGTATTAGATAGATGTTTGATCTATATAAGTCCGTGTCATTTGGTGGGGCGCATTGCAATTGCACCAGTTTTTACAAAATCAAATCTTTCATTTGCGCCACAAGGTTATATTTCATTTACGCCAAAAAATAAAAATTACATTTGCACCATTTAAACAGGTAACTTATAACAGAAAAGTTTTAAATATTCATTGCTACATCGTGAATACAAATTTTTTTTAGAATATCCCATTACTAATATAAAACTGGAGTCACTTATGTTTAAAACTATATAGTGTTCACATGTTTGAGGTGTTAAGATGGACATAGTCAATTCTGAGACAAACAGGCAAGATGTTAGTTTTCCCAATTGTATTGTTTCATATTTTTCATGTCGGGGCTGTTTATAGCCGACTATACAGTATGGGTTTTTCTCATTTTTGAAGGCCGTACGGTTGTCTATAATTGCTTTCACCCACTTCATTTGAACTTTAGTGGATATTTGTCTCATTGGAAATCATACCACATCTCTTTATTTTTATATTGAGGAAATAAGTCTGTAATTGTTTATGACCACACATTTATGTTATCTAGTGTACATTAGTACATCTAAGTCGTTGCTTACAAGTCTTGTGTCATAACAAACTTTTGGTTTTACTCCAGAGTATAGTGCTTTCTTTTGAAATGCCAATTGGCGCAAAAGCAAAGCTCCGATTAGGTGGTCTCTGTTTTCATGTGTAATTGATACATTTTAATCATTTACCTATATATGACTTTTGATTTACACTGCATTAAACAAAAAATAAGATAAATGTAAATTTTGTGAGATAAAAAAAGGACTTAGTTTCAAGTCTCTTTATCCTTTGGTCCCAGGTTTAATGAGAAACTACAATAATTTTTTTTATAGGTATTTTTTTTATAGGTAATTTCTCCTGTTTTAAAATATAAAAATATAATATGCAAATTAGTGGCCATCTAACATTGACCTCTATTAAGCTATTTTATGCACCGAAAAATTGATTATCTTTCTAAAAAATCTGCAGCAATGTAACTAACTATGCAATAGTGCTACAGTAAGTTTTTCTTGTCCACCACCACTGCTATGGAAGAGCAATATATGATTGAAATAATACACACAATTCTTCCTATCTTTCCATCAGTGATTTCAGATTACTTTGATTGTGTTCAGGTCTTGACCCACAGGCACTTGTCTCTGAAAAAAATCCTATATACCTTAATGTAACACAAGGTACTTAACTGCCATTTTTGAAAAATGTCACCTGGTCGCGGGTTTTTTTAAAATTATTAATCATTTACTGCGAGTCTTATATTTCCAAACAGCTGTTGGTAGACGAAATAATTACGGTTGACATACTTGGGGAGGCCTGCAACGAATGATTCCGACAACAATGGTAGGCGTGTTATACACCATTGTGTAGATAAATCAATTTAGCTTACGGCATAACAAGTTTAAGTTGACAACCGAGAAATCGAAATATTAAGGAATTTCATGACTGGGTGACATTTTTCAAAAATGCGAGTTAAGTACCGTGTTTTATATTGAGGTATATAAGAAATTTTTTTCAGAGACAAGTGCCTGTGTCTTGGCCAATGATTCAGCTTGACTTTCCTCAAACAACAAATTTAAAAAAAAAAACTTGGACCAGTCACCAATGATATTTCAACAGACCAGACATTCAAAAAACCATGGACCAATGATCTTTCCACAAACCACACATTCAAAAACTCATGGACCAATGATATTCTCACAAACAACACATTAAAAAAATTGAACCAATAATATTTCCTCAAAATGCAAAATTGAAATCCAAAAGTGAAAGGAAATGTGCTTTTTCATGCTTTAACCAGAATTAGAAAAATAATAGCTAGCTATTTGTGTTAATATTTTTTAGGATAAAAAAGCAAAGAAGTTAAAAATGAAAGATGAGACAAGGGAAGCTCCTGCACAGTACAGATGGGTATTCAAAAGACAAAGATGATGAAAAATATATAGCTTGATGGATGAACTGAATGTCAGAGTATTCAATAAAAGTATCCATTCTAAGAAGTTACGCTGAGGATAAGATTTGGAAATGGTAGTGAATTTAAATAAATGTAAAGCATTGTAATGTAATTTGAGTACATTTTATACTAATTACAACTCGAGCTTTATTATATATAAAACATTAAGACTATTTGTCTAGTGATTTTGAATTGCATCAGAAAAAAGAATGACATCTGTTTGTATTTATTTGTGCAATAAAATTATTAAAACTTTTCATAAGTCTTGCAGCAACAGTTTACCTTTAGCAAAAAAAGTTGTAAGTGTATATTGCTAGATGCCTTTTTGTTTATTATTGTACATTATAAAGTTTGTGATTAGATCAGTTTAAGAGGAACCACTAATGTTACATGAATGATATTCAGTAATCAGTAGTAGTAGCATTTGCAAGTCTCTTTTCCATGGAGATATGGCTCTATCCCCTCATCATGGTTTATTTAATTTGAAACTTTTGTATTGTTTACAAGTTAAAGTTTGTGTTTTGGTTGGTTAAAAGGACATCACTGATGATAAGTCAGTGGTATTTGGTATGCAGTTTTATAAGCATTGGCATTTCTCATTTCCATGGAGGTTATTTGATCCTGCACATTAAGTCATGGTTCATTGACTTTGAATATTTTGCATAGTTTACATGTTTAGATATTGCCATTTGGATTCAATGTATACATTATAATACAAAATTACAAAAAGGCGAGACATATCTCTGTATTAACAGTTTATTTCAATCTATTGATGTATAACTTTCTGTTCAGTTTTTGAATTTGAATCCTATTTTAAATTGATAAAATTTTTTAATAATATCATGAATTTATAAGGAAACATATCCAAGGGTCTTGAAACGGTCATATTTCCTGTACATAATGGCCAGTGAACAAAATGTATTTTGGGATTTCATTAAAAACAAAATTTTCCTTATCTGACATTATACAATTCTCAACACCTTTTTTGTTGGGATTTCATTACTTTTCATTGTCACTTACTAAATCTTGATTGCAATTACGGTAATCAAACTGCCACACAATATTGTATGATAATCAACAGGGCCTTACCAGTGGATATTAGGTTTATGCTCACTAATAATTTTTAGCTCACCTGGCCTGAAGGGCCAAGTGAGCTTTTCTCATCACTTTTCGTCCGTCAACCGTCATTAATTTTTACAAAATTCTTCTTCTCTGAAACTACCAATCCAAATTTTTACGAAACTTGGCCACAATCATCACTAGGGTATGTAGTTTAAAAAATGTGTCCAATGACTCGTCTGCCAATCAAGATGGCCGACATCGCTAAAAATACAACATAGGGGTAAAATGCAAGTTTTGTCTATTATTGAAAATCACTATTAATAGAGAAAATTTGACAAGGACAAAATGTTTGAAATGATGAGTCTACCTATTGTCCATTTACTTCCAAACTGTGCGAAGACTTTTTATAGGAGTTATTGTACTTAAATTGAGAGAAACTTTATTTAAAAAAAATAATCAGCAAGATAAGTTCTACAAATACATCAACATGGTTGAAATCGTCGGATGACCCCTTTTTTGGAGCTTGTGCCTTTTAATGACGATTATTACTATTTTTTTTTTTGCGTTTTTTGCCTAATATCTGAAAAAGTATAATAGATAGATAGAAACTTAAATTGGCAAAAATTATCAGCAAGACAATTAGTCAACCAGTTGAAATCATCTGACGACCCCTTATTGGGGTTATTGCCCATTAATGATGGTTCTGACCAATTTTGCGTTTTTGCCTTATATTTGAAAAAACTATAATAGATAGATAGAAACCTTAATAAGCAAAAATGATTAGCAAGACAAGATCTACAAATAAGTCGACATGGTTTAAATCATCTGATGACCCCTTATTGGAGTTGCTCTTTTTGAAAACAATTTTTTTATCATTTTTTTGTATTGTTGCCTACTGCCTGAAAAACTATATGAGATAGATAGAAACATAAATAAGCAAAAATTATCAGCAAGACTAGGTCAACAAAGAAGAGATGTTTGTCATGAATTCTATTCTAGTCCACAAAGATGGAGAGTATCCATTGTTGAAGATGGCATCATGCACATTGACTTCGGTGAGAGACACAGGCTCTTTAGAGCTGCTAGTTATCTTTGTTGACACCTAACAGCAGAACATATTAACAAGTACAAACAATTTCCTTTATCAGGAACTTTTTAAGCCATTAGCTTACAGTGTTTGCAAGCTCTAAATGACTCAGTATTTTTATTTCCCTTATGCTATCTGTTCAACAAATTTAAAAGTAGCAGGCAGCCTGAATCGATTTGTTTTTGTCAGAACAACAATATATTTACTATTTTGTTGATGGTATGTGTTTTTTGGAAGACATCTTTCTAAAGAATATTGTTAGTCAACCTTATTCTGGATTAAGGGTAAACATGAGGATTGATGATAGTAGTACTCTTGTATCTGGGATATTATGCAGCTCCTGACTTACTTGGATTTAAATTTTTTTGGACATACTGTCATTCAGAAACCTGGAAAAAAGAAAACAGACAACAATATATGAGACAAATTTAATATCCAGCACATATGTATTTGGAATAACTTTAATGTGGTCTGCTTGATTTGAAAAAATAAAAAATTTAGAACGTCTAAGATCATAAAAACAAAAAGGAAAAGACTGAATCATCAAAGTAAGGTCAGTTTTGTCTTAGGAAGAAGCAACCTTAGTTTTAGAACAATTACATGAAATATTAACTGAAAACTTATCGTCAAAGTCTATTTTTAAACTATGCATGCCAGTACTCACACTGGCAACTGGGGACTGATAATATTCAAGCTTCCATATGTCTAATTGGTAGTAATAATTGTATGAAACAGTTTTCTGATGGCACATCACATGTTTCTGAAACGTTCATAAAGTTTATATACAAAGACAATACATCTAGAACCTCTGCAAACGTAGTAAGATAATATGCATGAAATAACCTTGTCTTAATATCCCCTATTTCATGTTTTGATCATAACTTAATTCATGCTTGACTTCAAGTCATAATTAGATTGTTGCAAATATCAAGAGTATGTAAAGATCTTGGTTCAGTAATATATCTTGATCAATGAGATTATGTATATACTATGAAACCATGTAGCAGCTATCTCTGATCAATGAGATTATGTAAACATACAATGAAACCATATCACAGCCATCTCTGATCAATGAGATTACGTATATATACAATGAAACCATGTCACAGCCATCTCAGACCAATGAGTTTATGTATATATACAATGAAACCATGTCACAGCCATCTCTGACCAATGTGTTTATGTATATATACAATGAAACCATGTCACAGCCATCTCTGACCAATGAGAACACATATATACAATGAAACCACGCCACAGCTATCTCTGATCAATGAGATTACGTATACATACAATGAAACCATATCACAGCCATCTCTGATCAATAAGATTATGTATATATACAATGAAACCATGTAGCAGCCATCTCTGACCAATGAGTTTACGTATACATACAATGAAACCATGTCACAGCCATCTCTGACCAATGAGATTGAGTATACTTGCAATGAAACCATATCACAGCCATCTCTGATCAATGAGAACACATATATACAATGAAACCATGCCACAGCTATCTCTGATCAATGAGATACGTATACATGCAATGAAACCATATCACAGCCATCTCTGATCAATGAGATTACGTATATATACAATGAAACCATGTATCAGCCATCTCTGATCAATGAGTTTATGTATACATACAATGAAAGCATGTCACAGCCATCTCTTACCAATGAGATTGAGTATACATGCAATAAAACCATATCACAGCCATCTCTGATCAATGAGATTACATATATATACAATGAAACCATATCACAGCCATCTCTGATCAATGAGATTACATATATATACAATGAAACCATGCCACAGCTATCTCTGATCAATGAGATTACGTATATAGACAATTAAACCATGTAGCAGCCATCTCTGATCAATGAGATTTATATGTATACATACAATGAAACCATGTCACAGCTATCTGATCAATGAGATTACATATGTATATAAAGAAACCATGTCACAGCAATGAGATTACATATATATACAACGAAACCATTTCACAGCCATCTCTGACCAATGATATTACGTATACATACAAAGAAACCATGTCACAACCATCTAGGATTAATTGATTACGTATGAATGCATACAATGAAACCATGTCATGATAAATAACAGGAGCTCTGGGTAATGGAACCCCCCCCCCCTTTTCTATATAAGTTTTGTTTCTGTTTCATTTTGTGGGGGGTAAAGATTACATTCACGCAATTAAAACCCTTATGGGGCTGGCTTGATATTTATCAAATTTCCAAAATTTATCACTACTTTGAAATTAAAAAAATATAGTGCATTGAGCACAACATTCTATACATCCTACCTTTTAACATTTCAAGAAATTTATCAATGAAATATATACTCAGATATTCAAGTTACAAAATGATGTGTTTGTGTATAACTACTACTTGGCAGAAAATTATATGTATGAATATAGTATCTGTTCTAAATTATATCAATGACAAATTGGAGTTGTTCATAATTGTAGCTGAACTGTCAAATGCTTAATACAAATACAGTGTTTAATTTTTAGTTCCCACCGCAAAATTAATGCAACCTTTACCCCTCAGTGCTCATAAGCACTTTGATTAGTAAATATTACTTAATATTTTAACTTATTATCACTTATTTTAAGTGTCCTTGTTCTTATCAATACGATTTTATAACATGGGTAGATTATATATGATGACCCTTTATTCTTTTTTCCTTTGGGGTCCATTCCCCAAGTTAGATCAATGGGATAGTTAATACATATACCTTAACCAGAGAACAACCATACATTTTCTCGAAATAGAAAATGTATTTGTAGATGGCTTACAAACAGGTAGAATGTGAGCGTTTCTATCCTGTTTTGAGTCGAGTAGAAATAAAATTTATATTTCTGGAAAATGTATAGTTGTTCTCTTTATAATGCAACTCTTACAAATGTTCCAAATCATGATAAGGCAACATATCTAATTTGCGCGTTTTAAATGTCATTGGACTATATTCGAATATTTGCCAAAATTATCATTTTAAATCGCATTAAACTAAAATAAAAAAAGAAATGATCACAATTTTGTCAGTTATGGAGCAACTTTAAAATTCGATCACTATCAAGATTTCAGAAAAAAAACCC